TTCGCCTTTTAGGCTTTGTAAATGGAAAATAGCAAACACTATTTATGAGAATTTGAAGAGATCAAAGCAAGCAGAGCTGTGAATTCTTCACAGTGACTTTTCTAATGGTAGATAGATGCATTAGAGCTGCTATTTAATGGAACTAATTGATCATTGTGTATTTCTGCAAGGGCTTTAAATTAACTACCCTTACAGTAACAGAGTGTTGTAAAGTCCTGACAAAAATAAACAGGATACAACATTCTTCCTCTTGTCATGTTGTATCCGATTATACTGAAATATGTGCCTGGGGAATACTTACAGTGATTGTCTGCTGTTTTTATTTGGGTAGTGAAATAAATATTGAGCCATGCACGCATAGGGATGCTGATAGACTAGGTTCTGAAGAAAACATACGCTAAGCCAAAGATTACAACAGCTCAGTTCTCACGCCAGCATGTCTCTACAGACTCAGCAGGAACATTTTGTTACATTGGATCATGCATTATTCAAGAAAGTTTGGCTTGTTGTGGGATCATTAAAAAATCATCCACAGAGGCCGCCAGTTCAAAAGGTAGTGAACTGAAATTGCATTGAAAGGACATATTTTCTTGATGTACAGATCTCATCATTGTGATTGTGATCTCGATCCATGCATTGTTCTCAATTTGATATGAGATGGTCTTGTTCTGAAGGGCCATAAATGTGTGATTTCCGCTCTTCCACAAATCACAGCTTCTTCTGGAACACAAGAGTCCAGCTTAGAAATTTATACTCCACCAAATTCCTGAATATCGTCAAAACTGCAAAACCAAATAACTACCAAAAACTGATTGTAAGACACAGTTGAAAAGCCTCCTCTCTGGCATACTATATCATGATTACCTGACACAATTAATGGAAAAGGGTGATGTTTTCTGCTCGAGCTATAAAAGGATTAGGCAGCTAAAAATACAGCTTCTACCTCATGGGGACGGACTGGGGATCCCTTTCCCTTCGGGTGGGCAGGGCAGGGACACTAGATCCTAATCTGAGGAGGATATCACTTATCTGGAGACAAACAGCACAGATTAGGAGAGGAGACAGAAGATGCACTGGGGACAGCGTGTGGGAGGGCTCTAACTCAATTACACACAGGCACCAAATCCCTCCCCCGATACCTCTGAGAAATGCTGGTGCAATAAATAGTAAATAGAGACCAAAGCCGAGCCATTTCCTTCCTGTCAGACTGCACCCTGCTGCACTAAAGCTCAGCAGCAGAGAGGAGAAACACCTTAATGTTTTAACTACAAGCCACTGTTCTTTGAAACAGACAGAATAAGGGACAGAATTACAGATTTGCTTTATTCTGTAAGAGGAGGCTGTGATTAGGACTGACAGTAACACCAGTCTTACAGCAGACTTTGGACCTTGTAAGCAAACCCCAGTTCTGAGTTGATACCAGCTCACCAAGTCAATGGATTCTTCTGATTCTTGTCTTTAATTGGCTTTTAAATCATTCACACATTTGTAATTTGGTTAGCCTCTTGGCACTTATTAAACTATTTCATGCACCAACTATTCAGGGTAGATTATGACTAGAATATAACCTAAAACCTAAACATGGTTCCTTATGACGTATATCAAACTACCCCCATCCACAGAAGAATTTTGTGGCAAAAGTAAACACTAATCCGATTTCTTAGACCCCAAGGCCTCTTTCAAGCAAACCACCTTATTTATAGTGTTCGCAGTAGCCTTGATGGCTGTAAAATTGTTGTAGAGGGCTCATTGATTCACTCCATATCTCATGATTAATTCATGGATCTTCCAATGTCTTTTTTAGAGTGCATAAATCCCTACATGAGTCAACAATAATATACATTGAGATAATACAGCCTTCATTAGGAATTTGACAGTTGAAAGATGAATGAATTGTCATCATCACGGTGAGCTCTTCTCCAACATTTCCAGCGTGCCAAAATGAAAATCAAATGGATGTGAGTGACTTTGACAGATCTAATAAAAAAAGGAGCTTCTATTGTTTCATTGTGTGCAGTTGCCAAGATGGTTTGGATATGTGTTGACCCATACGCTGCACTTCCAAGTCATTATATAGACTCTGGTCTACGTTACGCAAGGCAGTTTGATGGGAAGTGAGTTGCTGCATCTCTGTCTGTGCGCCAGATGCAGTGTCTTTGATCCCATGTGCTGGAGGTGTTGGCACAGGTCTGCCTGCCACCCCCTCTGCATGCCCCACACTGTGTGTGCTCTGAATCCTGCCATGGCTAATAATGAAGACACTGATTAACTGCAAGGCATCTTTCAAATGAATCTGTTTTTTACCCTGACATGTCACATAGTTAAGTTAATTCACAATTAGCTTTGAATTTGAATAAACGTTCATTTATCAAATGAGGTAAAAATAAATGCCTCAAATATACATTGCAGCACAAAGAAAGTTATTTTTATGAAAGTGATTTGTATATCTGTATCACCAGGCTGGTAATTTATATATTGTTGCATTCATCATCCTGTAACTCATGCCTAAGGTTAAAATTAGCAATGTGACACCATCCCTATGCTGCAAGTAATCTATAATGTCAGTACATTATTTTCCTACAAGTTGCATTTAATAATTTAGGATTTATTTTACTTTTAGATAACTACAATTTAAGTTTGTGCAGACTACTCAATTGCCAGTTTATTTGATCAGCCCCATTTATATCAACAAGGGTAAGCTACTGTAAATAACAGAAACAACTCTTTGTATATACAGTACAACAGAACAGACTACAGCGTCAAATGATCATGAAGGTAAAAGTAAGGTTTCAACAAAAACTGAACATTATAACCTTCATGACAGTAGGATTTATTGTAGGACTGGCATATTAGACATTATTTTTAGCTAGGTGTTCCTAATAAACTGGCAACTTGGTGTGGATGACAATAGTTGCAGAAGCATACAGACTTTCAATCTTTTCCCAACAATAGTATAACTATGCTTAAGTTGCATAATAAAATGTTTGTACAGTAACTTTAATCAATCAATCAAGAATGTTTAATTATATTTTCAATACTTTTCATCATGTTATATATTTGGCAGGCAAAAGCAGCTTCATGAAAAAAGGTGTTTTTAAAGCCACAGGGATGCAGAGATGCAAGACAGTGACACAGAACAACCATCACTATGTTGAGACAGTTGAGGTATTGAGTTATTTTATTATCTGTTCCAGATGAGAGGTTTGTCAAAAGTGAAAATTCATCAAGGCAATTATCAGCAATGTAGTATAATATTCAATGTCACACTCACTAACACACATATCGAGAGCCTTTACCACGTCTGTCTCTTTGACACACGCACGCACACACCACTTAGTATTTATGTCATTTTCATACAGCACATATGAATTATAATTGGAGCAATACAACAAACACAATACAACCTAATAGATTACCTAATTTCATGTGTGCACATGTAATAAAAGGCAATTTGCTGTTTGGTCATTTGAAAACCAAACTGTACAATAAGTTTATAATTAGCATGTGAAATTTGGTGTGAAAATATTTAAGAAAGTCCATTTATCTTACATTTTTGGTAATTTTTCCAGCATTTCTTTAAAATTAAAATATCACGTTCATTTCATTAAGCAATTAGCAGGGAAATCATATTAATTTAATGTGTGTACAGGTAAAGAGTGAAAGGCCACTACGGTCAATACTGTATCTTGCACCAATTTACATTTCACAGGCAACATATACCAGTAATAGTTTCCATCCAAGCCTGTTTATGTTCACATATTATTGCTAAAACTTTCAAAAAACAAGATTATTCCATTCTCTTAAATATCAATGTGTAGGCAACAGCATGAGACTTTATGGCTAAAAGACAGCAATATGCCATGTCCTGGTTAAGGCCAAAACCCTTCCAGCTGCATATACATTGTGTTATAGGTAACATCTAGGCCATTGTGTCATGTAAAGAAATGGCAGGACAAAGTCAAATTTTTACAACACTGTGCCTCACTTGCAAGAGAAAACAATTGTAATGCTGACATATATATATATATATATATATATATATTGGTTATGCAAAGTGTTTGTTGTTGTTTAATGGCCCAAGCCATAATGAGTATAACATCAATAACAACAACAATGTGATCAGTCAGAGAATAGGTTCTGTGTCATTCCAGTTGACAAATGCATCTGTCCATCTAAAAAAAGAAAATAAAATAAAACATGTTTAATGCATATATGGCTGACCCAGGTACAAACTATATGACTGATATTTTTTACAACTTAAAAACAGTCTTTATAGAATGCAGGGAATGTGAACACCCTTGATAAAAAAAAAAAAAGACCTATAAATGTCAAAACATTTTATGGTTCTTCTCCAGAGGTACATATCACTGTGCATGTGGGAGTATGTCCATGTGTTACCTTGTTCGGATACAGTGCTCCAGTGGAGGAATGAGATCAGTGTCAACATCCTGGCAGCTCATGGCCAATTTTCCAACAGCTACAAAGGAAAAACAACATTTTCAGTTGAGGCATACTTACAATTAGTGCAACAGCAAAATAACTAAATGCTACTCGGAAATCAACATGGGAAAGATTCAGATAATTCAGATGACCATGAAAATGAGAAATGAGAAAGAATAAATGTGTATTAACATCTAGTCAGAATGGCTTGAACTACATCATAATCACTAGGGTTCATACACATTTTACCAATAAATTTCCATGACTTTCAGGAAAACTTTCATGACCCTGCATTCACTGAAACGCTTGTGTATACATGAAAAATAATAAAAAAATAAATATCAAAATTTACCACAGTACATCTTAAATAAAATTAATGAAAGCTACGTGGTTTTATACAAAATAAACATTTATTTAAGTAACACTGACACACCAGTAAGATGTTTACAGAATAAAATGTGCCAAACCCAGAGAACTCCATTGTGTAACTCTTTAATTAACATAAATGACCAGGAGACAACGATGTTTGAAAAATAAATAAGTATATAAAAGAGTCCTGTAACACTGACATTAACTTCAGAAGGCAGCAGTGTCAGAGAGAAACTGTCTTTTGGAATACAAGATTTTGTAACTAAGAAGATTTTAAACCAACAATGCCTCCTTTTTACCATTAATCTAACTGAGCATCAACAGAAGATAACCTTGCCTGTTTGAACCCCACAAACAACAATCCACACAGTTTATGTTTTCATATCTACAAGCTTCTCATCAATACACCTTTTCATTCTTCAGCAGAGATGCTTTCTTTTCTTCTGGAGTTCAGCAGAAACTGTTGAGGTGATGAAGGTGAGTTTGCTCTTTGCTTCTACTTTCTCAGCGTATTCCATAAATTTCTCAAAGGCACAAATCTGAGCATTCATCCTAGCCCTTTTATTTTTCAAATCATCAAGGACATCTGTGAAGGCCTTCCTCTTCAAGTCAACAGCTTTATGTTCTTTCTTTCTCCTTTCTCCATCCAGGTAGCCATTGTACTGCCTGACTCCTGCAGCTGAAAGGAGCAGCTCTTTCATGATCTCTACCATGCCCCCAAAAGACCTGATGTGGTCAACAATGAGCCTCTGAGCTACCAGTCAAGGCTTTGTGAATGGAAAATCCCCTCTTCACAGTGACCTGTCCATGTGACAAGACAAGTAGAATCTTCACCACATCCCATTCTGGAAAATGATGGTTTTGTCCTCATTTTCTCTGTCCACACGATCTGTTTTGGGGTCAAATTCCCTGAATTTAGCCTCAGGAGCAGCTGAATCACAAAACTCCCTAAACTCTCTGAGGATATCATCACACATTGCCTCATCTATGTGTTTAGCTTCAAATAGCAAGTGCAGCATTCTTCTCATCTGACATACACACAGTTCCATAAATTCAGCCATGCATCTTGGGACAAGGCACTGCATGTTTCTCACTACTGTGGGATGCACTGGAGATGCACTGGAGCCTTTTTCAGGAACTTCTCAAGAAGTGTGATCAAGAGTATCTTGCACTCCATCTTGATTGCCAGTCTCTGCCTCTCTGGAATGTTCTAGGAAGACCGGGCTTCTGCTGCAAATCAGTATTCAAGTATCAATCTGAGAACTGTCCTTGTGCAGACTGCTGTGCTGAAAAGGGACATGGGGGAGCTGAGCATAGATGTAGCCTCTTGCAGGTGCTTCACCTTCAGAAATTGAGTCCTGTAAATGATGAAAATGAAAATGAAGGGCATTTTATGTTTCAGTTTGATCACTCATATTGTCAAATTTACAAACCATAGGTCAAATGTATTTCCCATTAATTTCAGTTAAATACACCAAATGAGTGAAATTACACATTCATAGCTTAGGTGATACAAACTACAGTGCTGTACGCTGATTCAAATATGTGCATTAAATAATCATTTATTTCATTTCAGTCATTTAAAAATAAATACATAATGTCGTATGTAAGATATACACATTATCTTTATTCTACACTATAATGAGTGTCACGTATTCCTTGTAGAGGCGAAAAATTTGTGTGGCTTCCACATTGTTATGGTTGGATAATTTTTCTCTGCTTATTGTTGTATTGTATCCATTAAGACATCAATAAAACTTACTAATTGTTTTTCCAGAAATTATATACAAATAAAAACCAAACCTAAACATGTGATGGACAACAATGCTGTTAAATTGCCTGTGACTGTTTATGCCTGTTGTGCCAGCCTTATGGTGTTTTATTAAGCTATTGTACTTTTGCTCTGGAGCTGTTATACATTTGTGTGTGTTTCTAATAGACTGTAAAATAAAATATTAGCAATCCCACCATTGTCCTTACCTTTAATTGGTTTGTGCATGTCCTCAGAGAAGAAGAGCAGCATGGGCTGGTATGCCTGATACATGGTGAGGAAGGGGTTGATTTCTCTTGCAATGCTGTTAGATATCCCCACTTTCAGAAAAGAGAAGAGAAGATCAACACAGCGGATTTTCACCTCCTCAAATGACTTCACTTTTGGATTGGATAGTTCACCTCCCCTACCATCTCGATGTAGTGCTTGATATGCGGCCAGGGCAGCAATCCTTTCTTTGATACGTTGATATTCTCAATCCACCGGTATTAGCAAAACTAAAGCATGGGTGTGCTGCATCCAGTCGCCGTCATAAAATCCATGTGCTGGGCAGGTCAATCGTGGAACAGCCAGACTCTTCCCATCCACGGATTTACATCCATCTCTGGATGCAATGTAGCTGTGTTGTGCAACCTGCACAAACTGATGTTTATCAGAGACTTCCCCACATCATTCTGCATTTGCTTCTGGGAGATTTGGACGAGATTTGTGACTGTGATCTCTGAAAGCAAGTCTTTCATTTTCTCAGCAATATCCTGAGCTGACAACCTGACGCACCAGATGGTTTGTTACACACAACCATCTGGGAGAGCTTTGTTGGAAACAGTTGGAAAAGGGCAGATACTTTCAAAAAAACATACTTGGCAGGTGATTGGATGAATCATCTGTCTATCATATGATGTAGTAGAAGAGTGCCAAAGAGGAAACCCAATGACAAGCCGCAGTCTAAGGAGCTTTGAAAGCTAGGTAGCATGTCGGTAGATGATTCTTGCCGTTTTTGTAAGGAAAATTTTTCATTTAAAAGGCACTTAAAAAACAAAACACAGCCACTTCTCCCTGGTTGCCCGTAGTTCCTCCCTCAAAGGACACTGAAGGTCAATCCACACAATCACAATATACCATCCATGATGAGGGAGAGCATACAGCACAAGATGAACATGATAAGCATCAGGCCCCAATCAGATTGAGCACCTTTCGCAGGTTGTAAAACTGGAGGTGCACCAAAATGCACATATTGTTGAAGTGTTATTTTGTTGTGAAGTAAACTCACAGGTCTGTACATGTAATTTAAATATATAGGCTACAGGCAGAGAGCGCTTGCTCTGGCTCTGATTGAAGTTGAGAGGTTGTTCTCAGCCAATATGCTGGACAGGGACACAGAGATCCATGTGGGTATATGAGACCCTCAGAAAAAGAAAAAGAAAAATCACAGGGAGTGCCACCAGCTGGTCCGGGAGCTTCGCCTGGATGATGATCGGTCTCAAAGGCGAGGAGCCCAGGGATGCATAAGAAGTGCACAAAACGCTTATTGCCTATAGCAAAAAAATGAAAAAACATGCCTATCACTCGAAAAAAGTGTATCCTGTCTGATTAGGTTCTAAATCTCCTCCAATAAACTGGCATTGACACACCATTGCCATGTTAGGAAAAATTTTCAAATGGAGCTTCATTGAGATGTCAAATGAACATTTTACAATACAAAGTGTTTACAATACAATATAACTCTATGAAATTATGCACAAATACACTCACACCATCTAACACAGCAGATAAACAAGTTCATGCATTCAAACACACTCATACCTCTCTTTCTCACTGTGTGTGTTTGTGCTTATGTATTTAACTTTGTCTCTGACAGGGGATGTTTGTATGGTAGAAGAGGATCATCTAACTGTGATGGAAGAGGATCATCTGCCTCAACACGATAACGAGGAAAGCCTACCCCCCCAGCGCTAGCATCAGCAGCACCACCACCACCAAGGGCTCAGAGGGAATTGGAACATGTACAATATCTGATGACCCTGCAGAATGGCCTAGTAAGATACCAGATGCAGAGCATTGTTTTCTTGTCAGGAAAGGTCTCATTCAGGTTACTGACCTGGAGTTTCCTAAAACATATGGATGGGAATCCATGAAGAGCAAGAGATCATTAGAACAGAAATATGAATAAATGGGGAAAAGACTCTTGGGTCATGGCTGCTCTACTCTGTAAAAGCAGATGCTGTGAAAATGCACTCAGCAAAAGGTTCAGCAGCTGGAAGAATTTAGGGTGTCAGCTTAAAGAGCATGAGTTCTCAAAACCACATGCAGACAACATGAGATGCTGGCATGACTTGCAAAAGAGATTGGAAAGCAGGACAGCAATCGATCAAGTCCAACAAGACTTGATGCGGCATGAGGTGGAGTACTGGAAGGGTGTCGTCAGAAGAATCATCACCATCATAAGGCATCTAGCTGAAAGGAACCAAGCTCTAAGGGGCCATAAAAATGATCTGTTTGACAAACACAATGGAAACTTTTTAGCACAGATTGAATTAATGTAAAATTCAATCCAGTCATGATAGGGCATGTGCGAAGAATCCAGAAACAGGAAACCAAAGTGCATTACATCAGCATAACATCTATAATGAGAGTATTGGTCACTGTATTGTTCTTGATGTACAAAACAGAACTGCCTTTTTGACATGCTTCTGGAAAAGCCAGAATAGTACAACCTAAATATTTCAGACAGTTGTGGCCAGTCCTATGACAGTGGGAGCAACACGATGGGACACAAACAGGGGGTTCAGGCAAGAATACTGCAGTTGAACAACAAGGCATTGCGTGTTCCCTGCAGCTGTCACAATCTGAATCTCGTGGCAGATGTAGCAGAAGCTTCGGTGCTGTCCATGTCCATCTTTGGCAGAGACAACCTTTTTAGTTCTGCAACAACATGTCAAGGACCGCGGGACCAGTGAAATCAACATCAGTGACATGATGGGAGGCGAGGATCGACAGTGTGAAGGTTGTGCGGTACCAGATGACAGAGATGGTACAAGCACTCTCAGTACTGAAGGAATTTACTGTTGAAAAGAAGGACTCTGAGGCAATGTCCTCATACCAGATCAACCATGCAAGCAAAGCATTACAAAGACCTACTGTTTCCATCTAAACACTAAGAACAGAACTTGGACGAATCAAGAACTACCTTACAGACTTCCGGGATAATGGGCTTAACTTCTGCCAAACAGAAACAAGAGGAATTAACATGAAGCTTCCCAAAAAGAGAACACCAAGAACATCAAGGCAGTTTCTATATGAGGGCAGAGAAGAAACACTGTCTACACCAGATGACCTCTTCAGTCAGGATTTTTTTCTTCCACTGGTGCATACTGCCCTCAGTAGCATCACTATTATGTTCTTAAAGATGGAGTATATTTACAACCTGTGTCTCCAAACAGGAAATGACAGAGGCAATTAAGTCTTGAAGGGTTGAGAAGCAGTCTTGAAAAAATTTTTAAAAATTATGGATGACACTATTTGAGAGGAGATGATGATGATGATGGAGGTCAGGGCTGCTATCCACATATTCCCTTATAATGTGTCTGTCTCCCAAAGAGAGATGTTGGACTGACAAGGTGGAACTTCTAGATCTCCTTGAGAATCTCAGTGTTGCTGTTGCTCCTGTTAAGTCTTTCTGTCACTGTTGCATCTGGCAAGAGAAACTTCTCATACCTGAAGCTTATATTTACCTGAGGTCCACCATGAGCCAGGAAAGGCTTTCAGGGCTGGGTCAAATGTCTGTAGGACAAGAGGTCAGAAGGTCTTTGGGCCTGGAAGATCTGGTAGCAGCATTTGCTACCGAAGGATGAAGACGGCTTGTGTGTGTGTGTGTGTGTGTGTTTAAGCTCTAAAAGCAGGGGTACTTGGGAGCTAAAGGTGGCTAATTCTCATTATTCCTCCATTCCTTCCATAAGTCATGTAAGGAGCCAAGCCAGCTTTTTCAGGCCATGTTCCCCACCAACCAGATAGCTGCCAGATTTGCATGTGGTGAACATAAGTGCTCATATATATGTACATATGGACTAACTCCTTGTTTTAAGAAACTGACTTTGTCTAAAGTATTGAAAAAAAACCTTATGGATTGATGGTGCACCGGCCAACCAGGATTTCAGCCAGCCAGCCATGGCCAGTCCGCCCGTGCCCTGGTCTTATCTCATTTCTTTGACGGAGGCCTTCGTAGTTTCGTCATGGATGAAATTCTTAAAGGTTGCAGAAGATGCAGAAGTGCATCTCTCTGCGCCAGTCAACAAGCGATTCTGCTTCTCTGCTCTTCTTTTAATTACACATAGAGCTGATCTTTATACTAACCTCATGAATTTATAACATATGGCTTTTTATGCGTTCCTGGATAAGCAGGATGTTGCTTATCCAGGAACACTTGTCTATTCTAAACAGTACATTTTACAGTTAATGGTCCGTTAATGAGCGTCGGCAAGAAGTCAGAAAAAAAATTCAAAATTAACATCCCTTATAACTGAGGTGAAAAAGCTAGTGATGGAGATGAGAGTTGATTCACACACAGCAGCGGCTTGGTGCTTAGCTCCAAGCTAGCATTGCCTCTCCCATGTTCAAAATGTCAAACATTTTACTGGACAGTCCACATTTTCCATGTCCCGGGTCCTGGTCTTTCTCATGCCATGTCTTATACTTGTCCAAGTGGAGCCAGCCATTATTAAATCTGCATTTTCCTTGCATTGTGCAAATTTACCTTAGTCCGTTATGTTAACCCACACAGAGAACAACAACAATTGTTGTGATTGATCTTCCTGGAACATTTAAGTATAGTTTAACCAATATAGATTCTTCTCAGTCAATCTTAAACAAGTGGCAACCTCCAGGGCTGGAAAATGAAGCCAACATGGAAGTGCCAAAAAAATGCAGTTCCTCGAATGACCACTTGAGGCTGGCTCCAAAAGTGAGTCAATCCCTATAGACTCCCATGTTAAAATGCCCAGAAATAAATGTCTACAGCTTGGTAAAAAAAATGGTTTTGGTCTCTATAGATAATTTACTGCTTCATGACAACTGTAGGGAGGAGAATGTTTTATATAACTCACCTGTTTAAAATTTATTAAGGCCTAAAGTTATGCATGATTGAAGGCATTTGTAGCTTGCCACAAACTAGCATGCACCAAAGTCTTGGCTCCAAATTCCATAATTTTCCCCAGGTTTTTCATGACCGTAAAAACCCTGAATTACAGAAGTTATACCCAAATCCCAATGCACATTTTTCTGAGTGGTCATTCAGTGAGGGGAGGTGAGGGGATTATAAGAAACAACATTAAAAAACAAAGTACACACGCACTGAGACAAGTGGGACAAGTGATGTTACATACAGACAGTGAGGCGGATCTCCTCCTGTTGATTGGCCAGTCCGTCATAATAATAGAGGTCAAACTCCAGACCTTTGCCTGGATTGGTCAACAGCTCCCTCTGCAGGCCAAACAGCACACTGAAGTGGCTTTCACTGCATACCACCCAGATAGGGTAATGGGGAGTCTTCAGGTAAGCTCCTACCTTAGATAGAAGAAAATAGAACACAAAAGAACAAACTAGTATTAGTATGTTAGGTAAAATCATTTTGAGAGTTTCATCTACTCACATCAGTCATATAGTTTCATGAAGCCATGGTACACATATTTTCTCCAGTCATAGGGAAGTGTCATATGTCTTTCTCACAAAAGAATGTGTTGCAGTGCACTATGACAGTGTGGCAGTGAGTCAGTATTCAATTACAAGGACCATGAAAACAAGAAGCTAAATGGAATTCAGGCATCATCAATTTTATTATCTATACCTGTGTTTTTCCTGCTGTGACATGTCAAATGTCTTCTGTGAAAAAGACCAATTAGGATGATGTCTTGCTACTGTTCTGTATTTCAGTGTGATAAAGGATACTGGTGTTAAACTGTTAAATATGCCTTGCTGCTACCAGAGTGGGAGTGAAGAGAAATTAAAACAGTACAAAAAAAAACACATTCACACACTGGTTCCCCTGTCTGCCGTTAAAGTTTGTACAAGGTCCATGACACTACTTCCTCTCTATTTCAGGTTCTGGTACATGCCACCAAGTATCTAGTCTCTCTGAGTTAGTTCAAGTTTTTGAACGTTGGGTGTTTTATCCAATTCCAATTGAATAACATCTTGAGGACTCAATAATTAGAAACGTCAGGGCAAAATCTGCAATTAATCAGTGTTTCTTGACGGCAGATATTTTTTTTAACTACTACTCTATTTTTCCACACATCAAACTCGTCAAAACATTTTCACATGTCCATGATGTGATTATTAACCTTCTGATTATAATCTACAATTATGCGCCTCAGTGATCCTTTTCTCATGCATGTGAACCACTTTGAAGTGGGCATTTTCAGGCTGTGTATGTGTTGTTAACTAACATATAAATCCCAAAATAGTCTTAAAAACATTCTTCTCTGTGATTATGGGCACATCTGTGCCGTTAGCAGCACAGATGTGCCCATAATTACAGTAAAGACTGCCCCCTAAGGACTTGTGTTTTAACCTGAATCTGACTAGTATCTGGTCTGCCAGTGGCAGGGAACCAGAGAGTCAGCCAGCAATTTTGCTCACCTTACAGATGTTATAATGTTCAAACAAGGACAGTAGGCCAACGTCACAGTGGCCTTTGATTCCCTTGAGTAGAGTCATGTTGCCATTGCCTGAGTCTAACTCCATGTCATTGTCAAAGACATTAGAAACTGCTCTGCCACAGAGCAACAAGTTGACCAGCTCCTGGTGAAAACAAACAAAAAAAGGAATGTTAGTACCAGAATAAATTTTGTATATTGCGTAGTATAAGTGCAATAATATTTTTTGTGTTTCACTGAGATTCATCTGTTGTTGTGCCATCAACACATTCTACGTTCTGTGTGCACATCTGTTACTTGATCACAGCACATTTTTAAATGTTTGGTTTAATTTTTCAGTGACAATTATTTGCAGTTGTTGAATTATAGAGATGACATAGCTTTGACGCAACTCTTGAGAGCTTTAAAAAAGCAATTGACTTGGAGAAATACAAGCAAATTGATGCTGTTAACACTTAAAACCACTTTATTTCAACATGATGAAATCATAAACCAGTGGCACCCAGAGCAGTTTCTTTAGATTTATTATTATCTGAGTCACAAACAAACACAATCCCCAGTGCTCCTAACCTATTTGATTTGCATCAAACCTGAGTGCAGTAACCATGGGCTGCAATGAGTGTGGTGGTGGGCACGTCCATATCCTCTCTTATTCTTCAGAAAAAAAGAGAAAGCAAATTTAATGATGGTTGTTTCATCATCTGGCTCATACCGATGTATACTGCACATTTTCTTGAGTAATGGTTTTAAAAAGGCTCTGCATACTTTTCAATAGATCGAGAGAGAATGGCAGATATGGTCAGCAGAATGCATCCTAACCCACCAGTCTCGAACTGTGCGAAAAAAGATAGATTGAAAGAGGAAAGCTGGCAATCTATTGTAAATCTGACAAGCAAAGTGAAAATGCAGAAGATGATAGTGAGTCTCTCACCTGCTCAATGTGCTGCTCCAGAAACAACTGCAGGTCCTTGATATTATACACAGTGAAACATTTTATCTATAAAAAAATTTAACAAAAAAAAAAAAAGACACTGCATTGAAAATAACAGCTTTTCTCTAAATTAGACATCACCAGTACAGTCAAAGATAAAAAGTAAAATGTTAATTTGTAAATGACTTATTTACAAAGCTACACCAAATCATTACAAATAAGAACAACAAAGATAATTACCAATGTGCAATTTGATTTTTGCAAATTCAAATATGGTTATATATCAGTTTCTGCAATAATATTTTAGACATGGTGATATTCTAAAAATCTAATCCTGTAAAAAGCCTCATTATAGAACAGTTGAAGTCTGATAGAGTTGCTGCTGCATTCAGTTGAAATATAAGTGTAAATTCTATTCGGCACACTTGACTCTAACTGTACTACAATACATACATTTTGGCAGGTGTGTATGCAGTGGCATGTCTATACCTTTTCAAGCACTCCTTCAGATTTGTAGTGTCCTGTTGGGGTGAAATGATTTCTTCCTGAACTTCTGTTTGAAGAAATAAAAAAAAAAGCAGACAAATAGGGTTAATCAATGCTCCAGTAGATTTGTCAAGTAATTCTGAGATGAAGGAGCCTGACAGGTGCAGATAAAGATAGGGATGGTGGTTGAAGTCTTGGCTTCTAAATGCAATCTAAGCTCAATTTAACTAAGCAATTGTGTGAGATCTGGATGTACTGGATTAAATAGTAAGATCTTACATTGCAATTGTGGCTTGTTTTTCCTCACCAGCCCTCCACAGGATTTCAGCCACAGCTAAAACAAGACACTTTCTTCTGGTATTGCTGAAAGGTCTTAACCTCCTAAGAACAAAGTTGCATTTGGGTAAAAGCAGGTTGTCTGGGGTGATAATACAGTTAATACCAAAGTGCAGGGAAATACATAGCAGTAGCTACAAAGGTCTCCTTGATGTGAATTAATGGCTGTGAAAAGCATTCAAGTGACTACAGTAGGTCAAAGCTCTGAATTGAAGGACATACTGAAGGCCCGCGTTACTGTTTTCCATGTTTTCAAACAGCAGTTTCTTAAGAACAAAGGCTTGGATTGATGCCAGAACTCCACAAGGACCACCCTAGAAAATAAAAGAAATGCACAAAAATAAGAATATAATGCATAATACTAAAATTCAATAAATTGTATGAAAATCAGTGTGCTGGATTCCTGAACTTTAGCAGGACAGGAAGGTTGAGCCAACCTTTTTCTGCACAATTCCGTATCTCAGGTCATGTGTTTCTGAGAATGTGAAACCCTGATTTCTCCACTCAATGCTGAAACAATTTAGGCTGGAACCAAGAAGAACCATTTTCAGTTCCTGGAGAAAAACAAAAACAGAAAACACACTAAAAATGAAAGGCAACTGCAGAAACTGTCCCCAGCACTTCGCAAGAAACACTGCTATAAATCACTAACCATGGCAGTGTGTTGGTCCATTGGGCAGCCTGCATAGCTGTGCTCTGCAATGGTTCTCTGAAAAGACACTTTGGAGAGATCTTGCATTTCCTCATCATCATCAATATCATCTGGAAATATATTCACATACCATCAGCTTTGACAAACCCAAGGCAACAAGTTGATTGCCAAAAAAGGCTTAGACATATAAAGCACCTACCTAACACCATCTCAGACACATCCAAGTCAGCTACATTTGGCCTGGTCTTTACTCTAAGAAAAATGACACAACACAAACTTATGAAGAAAATCCTGAAATTTGAAAACATGTTCAACTGTGTGGAACCATGAGGTCACTGGTTATGAGGATTGCAACATCTTAAAGCTCTTTACTTTCTTGTCTTCAGTGAGGCTTGTCGCACTTTTTCAAAGCTGTTTTCACTCTGCATTCTCTCTTCTCCACTTCGCAACTCCTGTCTCCCTCCTACGCAGTTCATTTCAGTTAGGCTACTTTCTAAGCTTTTTGTATGTAAGCCAGTTGTTGCAAGTCCATCCCTAGATCGCCTGTGGTCTTCTTCTTTTCTCAGCAGCTGCGGGGGAACTTCTACCCTTTGACTCTGCCTTTTTTTGTTTGATTCCTAAAAGGAAAACAATCAGTTAAGGACAAGAATTTGATGAATATGGGATCAATATGTTTTTAAGAAATGCATCAGAAGTTCAGTACCTGAGGTGTACTAGCTATTGGTCCAGCCATCATTCCACGTTTAATTCGATTAGTTCTGCTCCTTTGAGTGCTCTCAGTGATGGGAGTCTTTTTTTCTGGCTCTCTTCTCATGAAGCTCTCATTGTCCTGGACAGGGGCCAACAGTGGATAGCTTCTGTGGTGTCCTGACTGATAGGCCCAGCAACCTGTTTGATTATAGCTGAGACTGTCTGTTTCAGGCAACAATGAGGTATATGTAGGCTGAGAAGGGGAGGTTTCCCTTATATCAGACCTGTGAGAAACAAAAATCCTGTATAAGTTCAAACCATTTTTCAAATAGTCAAAACAGCACAAAATAATGTATTAAAAACAATGCTTGTGAAATACCTCAATTTGATGGGTTTGCTAATAACAAAGGCTCCTGTGCTACCCTCTGTCTTAGTGGCATTCACTGCTGTTGGTGTTACTGCAGAAGTAAGTGAGCTGGTAGCTGGAGCAGACTGCTGAGGATCACGGTCACTACTGGTGATTTTGTCATTCTTAGGGCCCGAAATGTGATGCTTTACAATAATCTCCAGTAATGTTTTTAGGGGGGAGCTCTGAACCTGGAATGACAGAGTTGTTAGCTACAGAGTTTTTATGTTATTCACTTACACAGCTGCCAAACTCCAGCTCTTAAGACTGACCTTATTCTCTCTGTAGAGACCGTCCATATTGAGAATCTGCCTCAGGTGAGACCTGTTGTTGATACTGGTCTCTGTGCGTGGATTCTCCTCATCCATACAGGCAATGGTCCTCTTAAGTCCCTGCACATCAGTATCATCAGGAGCAGCGTTATACCGTACTCTGACCTGAATTTCAGCCATTTGGCAGCTACGAAAGTTTTTTCCATGATCATATTGCCATGATTATACGTGACCCTCATCCTAGCTAAATACTATACACGGGATCACAAATTATACATTGGTATCCTGGTTGAATCTGGTCCAGCACAGATTTCTACAAACAACGACATAAACTCTTTAGCATAGCAGAACGGAGGCTAACACTAGCGATGTTAGTGGTTTGCACAGAAAAGCCTGTTCACCACCTAGCGTTAGCTGACTTACCTTTCGACTCAGGTATTCCCGCACAAGGGACGAAGAAACCTCTTCAACTGAAACAACCATGATGGGAACATAGACTCATTGATTCTACTATAGATCATCAACAAGAGGCTGTTCTGACTGTGGCGCTAATGGACCGACTAGCGAGCCTTAACGCGGCGATGGGATGCACAGATCTGCACTATGGTTGACGGGGCCGTGAACGTTACGGATACGGTCCATGTGTGCTAGAGATCAGTGAAACTGCGAGTCTTGCAGATCTGTTGTTCACCAATGTGCGTTTCCATGGTGACATCAGTCGCTCCGGATCTCCACTGCGGATATGGTCAGTGGATGAGGTATACAAATATGGCGACCTGTTGTTTCCGATGAAAATGCTCATCTGAAACGAGTTAAATGCTGCTGCCTGCCCAGCGCGCTGGAGGGAGTATAAAGACATATCAATTCAACAGTAAATTCTGTTTATCTTTTCTGAATCTGTTATAATCTTTGTTTCTTTACTTATGAATTTATGTGAATTTTACCTTTTTTTTGGAAATTTGAAGGAAAATCACTGGTTGAACTGGCAACAAGTGGTACTATGTGAAACCTATGAGGAGCATGGACAGCATAACCTCTTTGGAGCCCTGGATGAGAATTTGGCTGAATCCAAATGTCTGGCCTTCAAGCACTTGCAGAGGTGAACTGTCCAAATCCACACTTCATTAAGTCGACAAGGGCCTCAGAGAGACTTCCACAGAGTCTGCTTGGCGTCCAGATTTCACTTGGCTTGGTATAGCAATGGGGTTGATATGATGTAAAAACAAATAAATAAAGGGTGGACATTTGGATTCAGCTTGTGCTGTTGAGCCCCTACTGATCCTCCACCCAACACCCTCCGAGCTATTATCTATCACCTACAAGTTCAAGTCTGGAGCAACCACTCCCATGCGGAAATAATATTAAATTTGTGTTGCTTTTTGGCAATTTGATTAAATACAACTCGATCAGGAAAATGCATCATGTGAGCACGAAATGAACAACAAAGCTCTAATAAGGTAACACAAGATCCCTCTCCAAGACATGGCCAAAAAATTAATTAGTAAGTTAGCAACAGCCTTAATGGAAATTGTACTTTAGAGGTACAAATTCCCAAACAAATTTGAAGTTAATTAAATTACCATAATCAACTAGCATGCAGGCCCCCAGGGCAGTTGCCCTCTGCCTATGGTGCAGAGTGTTACATGACATGCAGTCCCGACTTTGGTCACTATAATAAAATATTCCTCCACAGCCAAAGGGAACTGTCCATCTAAACCTAAAACCTTCACCCAAAAGCAAAGGAAGTAACATGTACGACAGATCAGGTAGCAGGTAGCAGTTATTCAAGTCTTCCCTATGTAACAACAAAAGACATCACAAAAATTGTGTTATTTTTGTTTGTTTTATTAAAACATTTTCATTTATAATATGTCACAAATATTCAGGCTAGCCTATGTTTTTCATTATCAAACCATAAAACGGTTACCTACTGTCCAGCACAACTGAATTATGATGACTGTATCAAGAGTATTACATTTAACTCAAAAAGACAAAAGGGGGATTGGTGCATGAAAAATCAACATATTAAAATTGTTTATATGCTGCAATTAAAAAACACTTTATATGGACCTAAAGAATTTCATTGAAAATTCGGATGTACATAAGTTCAAATTGTTTTGTTCCTCCATTATGCTGCTACCATTACAATGTCATATCATTGTAAACAAACCCCACAGAGATGACTAACATGTTACCCCACAATATAATACCAGGCAAGTATCACAATACCATTGACTAATATAGAGAAGGGTACAGAAAACTACATGCTGATTGATACTGATGAAGTTGTTGAGCAGTAGTAGAATACCCAAGCAAGCATGTAAGATGTTTTACTGATATTTCCGCACATTGTTCTTTATAATCAGCAGACAAGGGCATTGCATTTTTTTTTACATTCCAGTGTCTCAAGCATCAAGTTTGCCATGTATGGACCATAAGGTGTGATATTTACAATACAGTACTATGATACTTAAAAATGGCTGGTATCACAACTATCATTGAAGGGCCTCTCAGTGAAGATAGTTTTGAAATTTTTGCAATCCTTGGCATAGGAACAAGAATCATGTCTGTTTTTGGCACAGTTATCATCCTACTCTAACAGGGAGTGCAGCTTTTTACAATTGAGCAATACGTAAACAACATCTTGCTTTTTTTTTTTTCTTTTGTGTGTGTGGGTTTGTGTGTGTGTGTGTGTGTGTGTGTGTGTGCGTGCGTGTGTATCCCTCCCTAAGGAATGCCAAGCATACTGCAATTTTCTTCCCTCTGCTGTTTGACCATACCATACCATGAGGGACAAAATTTTACAAAAGGAGTGAGAGACAACAGGGAAAGTTTCCAGAATGTGGAAGGGCTTCAATCAGTAGTCATAAGCTGCAAGAAAGAAACAGAAGAGCAGTTAACCACAACTGCCACTCAGTCCGAGTTCACGAGGAAGAGGAGCATGCGATCCACTTTATAGAGAGATGTTGAAATCCACATAGGAGGTATCATGCAGACATGCAATCACACCAAGGTGGTCTTACTTTCTATTGTGAGGATGCAGGTGCTGGCTGCTGTGCCTCTGCTGTTCACAGCCTTGCACATGTACTCTCCCTCGTCCTCTGGGAAGGTCTCTGGCAGGTACAGGCAGTATGTCTCTCCTCTCTCTATATACTGATAGTCCTCACAGTCCTGGAGCATCTCTCCCTCAAACCACCAGGTCACCTCCGGCTTCGGCTCCCCGGTGATCTTAACGGTGAACCGAACTGGCTCTGAGTCCACCACTGATTGATTCTTAAGGGGCTTTTTAAACCATGGAGCCCCCGACCTGGCGTGATCCTCCTCATCTTCATAGGCCGCAGAGCCATTGATGATGCTACCCTCTTCCTCCCCATCATCCTCCTTTTTCTGTAAATAGATGACAACAAGAAGCACAGATATTTACTAGGGCCAAAGAAACTTTAAAGCGAACTCTTGCTGAGCTGTCAAACATTAGGAATACATATATGGTCATAAACAGGGAAGATTTACTTTTTGGAGGGCAGCATCAATCTCTTGCTGCTCAAACTGCATCCTCTGCAGCTTCTGCTCTTCTATCCTCCTCCTCTCCTCCTCCTCTCTGGCTTTGGCCATTTGCTCAAATCGGGCTCGCATGTCCACCTTCTGTTTGAATGGAGACTCCTCGGCCCTCATCGGAGTTGATTCTCCTTCCTCATCCTCCTGAAAAACACAGAAATTTCAATATGTGACCCTGAAACAGAAGTGGGTGTAAGTCACACATCTGAAAATCACATGCAAGTCTCAAGTCTTAACCTTAAAGTCTCAAGCTAGTCCCAAGTTGCTGTGGTGAGAATAAGTCAAGTCAAGTCCCTGCTTTAAGTCAAGAAAGACAAATCAAGTCATCAAGCAAGTCACAAGTCAAGTCAATAAATTAAATTCTGTTGATCGAACCCAGTTTCCACATCAAAATCAGTTAAAAGACGTGGTCATGAAAAGTTAAGTTTTAAAAACTGTTTGTTTTATAAAACCTTTTAAATCTTGCTGATATTTGACATTTTGTGGCAATGAGTCCGGATCTGTCACAGCAAGCCACCTACTGCTACAATTATTATTTTTAGCTTTATCATTATCATTATTGCCTCCACCAAGGAGATTATGTTTTCACCGGTCTCTGTTTATTTGTCAGCAAAAAGTACTGAACTGATTTGCATCAAATTTGGTGGAGGGATGGGGCAGGAGCCAGGGAAGAAGTCATTATATTCGGGTGCGGATCCAGTTAAAGGGTCGGATCCCATTATTTAATCACCTTCCTTAATATGTAGGATTGTTTGGAGGTATGTGCTCATTGTGCTTGTTCTCTTTCTTCCTGCAATCCAAATTTGAGTATTTTTGGATGAAGCTCCTCCCTATGACAGCTGTTTTGCGGGCATCGAACTAGAAATCCCCCAATCATTTTTCAAAGACAAAATGTAAAAATATGTAGAAAAACGCACATTCTAATGGTCATTTTAATAAATCAAACTTTTTTGATCTGACCACTGTTTGTGGCATTTTGTATTGATTGATTCACATTCCTGTATGATGCGGGGGTATTCTTACCTCCTGGAACCTCTCAGCTTCTCTCTCTTTAATTTCATCATCAACGGCCTTCCTCCGTGCTCTCTCCATCTCAATCTTTTTCTGAATTTCCTCATCAGTCAGTTGCTTGATCTTCTCAAACTTGGACTTGAGGTTTTTGGCCTGGATGGAGCCGGTTCTCTTGAGCTTAGTCAGCTCTTCATACTCTTTGCTTACAACATCTGAGCTTTCGTTTATTTCGTCCTGTGAAATTGAAGCACATTTAATTGTCATGGCAGGTAGTATTTTATAAATTCTGGAAATGTGCAGAGCAACAAATGAAGAGGTTAAATTTGGAATTGCAATGAGGTGCCCCAAAACGCAAGTTCTGCATGTTTGTGATGTGGAACTTATGTAAATTGCATTTGTTTAAGCTGATATTAAAACAATCAAGTAAACAATTAATCAAGTAAAGTAAAGTATGCTCCATATAAATTTTCAACTGTTCCATACTGACCTCGCCCATTTCTTGTCTGAGTTGTTCAAATTCCTGCTTCTCCTGCTCCATTTTCTTTTTACGCTCCTCCGCCTTACGTCTTCTCTCAGCTTCCTCCTTCTCTTTCAGCAGCTCTTCAAAGTTGATCTCCAGTTTTCTAGGGTGCAGTGCTTCCTGAGAGTCACTCTTCACCAGCCCTTCTTCCTCATCTGGTGCCTATAAACACAAGCACACACAGGCTTAAGTTTGTAACAGAATTGAACTCCAACTACTTACCTAACATTGAATAATGTAATAAAACCAGAAAAAAATGAAGCAGGTGCCATTTCTATTGTTGCATATACCATTTAAAGACAACATGCATCCAACAAAAAGCCACAGCATCATCTGGATGACGTGTCTCTGTGTCCAGGTATTTAGATCAGATGTATTATTACTGGCATATCCTATACTGTATGAAGTGTCATTTCCTCTTATGTTTCTGTGAAACAAGGACATTTGAAATTGAAAATATCTTACTGTTTCATCTCCATATGCAGACTTTTCCTGATCCAGGCCAGGGCTCTTAAAAGAAATAATTTGGACAAGGGAACAGCAATGCAGGTGTACCATTTGAGCCCATAAGAATGATATACATGAACAAAAATGATGAATCCACATCCAATTAGAATCCAATTATAGATAACACATTACATATGTAAAATAAGTGTTAGTTTGACCAAAACTGCTTTGGTCATAACTGATATTTATTTATAATGAGTTATATGTCCTAAACATAGCCATGATAATAAGAAATATGTACAGTTTATATGTGTATTGGGCTATTTGAAATTTTCTTATGTTTCTCCCTGTTCTTTTACCGAGGAAAGCTCAGCAGCTCAGCAGCAAATCAAGTCAAAGGTTGAACAACAATAACAAAGCTCTGACATGTTAGTGATCAGCCATATGCATGCACACTGTACGGCTTTTCGTCACTAAGCCATGTGCACTTACCATGCTCTTGCGGGCCTCAGCAAAAAGCCTCTTCTCCTCTTCCAATCTCTTCTTGGCCTCCTCCTCGGCTTTCTTCTGCTCCTCTTCTCTTCTCTGGCGCTCCAGCTCCTCAAAACTGGCGCATATTTTCCCAGGCTTATTTCCCTCCAGATTCAACAAGGCCATCAGCGCCTCATCATCCTCATCTACAAGCTGAGTAAAAACACAACAAGGTAAGCTTTGACGACTGTGTATAAGAAGTGGCGGATGGCGTAATCATCTTTGGCCAGTTTTATATAACTTTTCAAAATATGGACTTGTAATTGTAAAAAGTGCAAAAGCTAATGAATTGTTGCACATTTTGGTAAATACACTTATTTGCTTTCTGGTGAAGAAGTAAATTAAAAGATTGATACCACTCTCAAATCTGTCTGGTAAAAACAAAGCTACAGCTGGTTAGCTTACCTTAGCACAAAGACTGTAAACAGGGAAACAGCTAGCCTGGGTCTGCCCAGTGGCTACAAAACCCACTAAAGCCTCTAAAGCTCATCACTTAACATGTTATATCTCATTTGCTTAATCCGTACAAAATCTGTGCAAAGAACAATTCGCTGTTTACTGGGGGATACATGCTGGACTATTTCTTGGCCCTGAACAGCCGTCAGACTCCAGGCAGTTACTGCTTCCAGCCCAGTCTAGATGATAACCCACTATAAAATAGTATTGTTTTTACACTTTGGTTTTTGTACTGATTAAACAAATGAGATATTATTGTTAATTCAAGATATTTAGAGGAAGTGATAGAAGGCTTTTGTTACCTTCACAAAAAACCAGGCTAGCTGTTTCCCCCTGTTTCAAGTCTTTGTGCTAAGCTAGGCTAACTGTATGCTTACTGTAGCTTTATGAATAGACAGACATGAGAGCCCCATCAATCTTCACATCTAATTCTCCCATTTTTATGATCATTGAGAACTTGTCATCCCTAACTTGAGTTGTTGTTGTGGGGAATTTTGTACTTATTTATTGAAAGCATACTGACCATGCTCTTCCTGGCTTCAGCAAAGGCTCTTCTCTCCTCCTCCATCCGTCTCTTGGCCTCTTCCTCTGCTTTCTTGCGCTCTTCTTCAACTCTTTGCCTCTCCAGCTCTTCAAAGCTCAACCTCAGTTTTCCAGGTCGGAACTCCTCCTTGTCTTCTTGAGATTGCTGGGCGTCATCCTCATCTTCTCCCTGATAATACACAAACACACCATAAGCACTGAGTCAGCTCAACAACAGTTCGAACATTCAAAAATCCCCTACACAAGAAATCTACATGTGGAAAAAGATGAGGTGTAAATGGATTCTAATGTTGTAGGTTATCAAAACGGAAAATGAATTTGTCTGATATTGCTGTTTCAGTGTCTGTTTACCATTCCCAGCCTGGCCTCCTCAAAAGCTTTCTTCTCGTCTATCAGACGGCGTTTGGCCTCCTCTTCAGCCTGCTTCTTCCTCTGCTCCTGCCTTTCCTTCTCTATCTCCTCAAATGTCATCTTCAGCTTTCCAGGAGTCACCTGCATCTTCTCAGAGGGCTTCTCCTCTTCATCCTGAAGGCAAGGTGTGAGGTTGAAGGCATTTTTAACACATGATTCTCGATCCACATTTTATGTAAGCTGAATGTTCACAAAAAATGTCAGGGTATCCATTTACCCATATTCCTACCTGTTCAACAACCGAGCGCCGCTTGGCTTCCCTGAAGGAGCGTCTGTTTTCATCATACCGTCTCTTCTTCTCTTCCTCTGCTTTCTTCTTCAGTTCCTCCTCTCGATTCTTCTCCATGTCCTCAAAGTTCATCTTGATTCTGCCAGGAGGTCGTGATGGTTTTGCTGGAACCACCCGTACCAGGATTGTGTCATCTCCTTCCTAAAAAAAAAAATGTTTGTTCAAAGTAAGCTTATCCAGGGCACGGAATAAGGAATTCATTAAAAATAAATAAACGATGAAATATAGACCATGTTGGCAAGTCATGTGCAAGGGGTTGAGCTCTTATAGATACAGTGACACACTGACTATTCAGAGGTGGAGGAAAATTTAGGTCACTCGCAGTGCATGTGCCCAATACACATAGACTGGGAATAAGAGTATGTGGGTGGTTTTGGTAGGCAACTTTATTGGCCAAATGTCACCATTTGCAGTAGGTCAGAGGATGGGTGTCAGTCTAAGATAGCAGAGTCTAATTCAGTCACAGTAAGGAGGTCTAAAGCTAATTTAGTCACTGGGAGGTGTGGGAAACAGTTGCCAGTCATATGCTGTCTACACCTGGCAGCTCTGTTCCAGTTGTTTCTAGACAATCAACTCAGCGCTTCCTTAGATTTAAACAGGATCATTTTAATTGTGAGACATATATCATTCAGTTTTGTTGAAAATCCTCAGATGGTCAACAGCTGCTCCTAAATTCAGGACAACCAACTAAACTAAAATGACTGTCTCACAACTTTGTCTGTCATTTTCTGTTTCTAGGAAACCTCCAAGTCAATTTGTCACAGTTATAGACCCAGTAAATAAACATCACAGTTTAATTTCCCAACGTGAAGGTCTAAAGCCCTGTCCACACTACTAGGAATACAGTTCAGGTGGTGAAATGGAAATGGTGAAATTAGCTTAAATAATGTCTAATGTTATGTGAACTCCGACAAAGTTGTTAAAACCCCTTAATTCCAAATGAAAACTCTAGAGGACATGGTCCCAGTCCTATGGCCTAAAGGCTGAGTTATAAAGATATATTTCAAGTAAAAAGCTGAATTAAACAAATGCTTTTATAACATATAAAGATTTCTATATAGCTGTTGAACATTTAAAGTATTGTTAATGTTATTAGAAATTTGACTGCTCTCACTGTACTAGATCAGAATTAGGGCAAAGAAGTAGCAGGTAATTGCCTTTAATTGCCTATCTGGTACAAGAATGCTTATGTAACCATTCCCAAGAACTACACTGTCTGTCCGAAGGTACAGTATAATAAGCGTAAAAACAATGTTCACGTTGTCTCATCTGTAACAAGTCTTACTCAGTGAGATGAAATAAAGGTGATCCATTTACCATGAGTTCACATGCTGGTCATGTCAACAAGGCTCCTAGTGGTTTCAGACCTATATCCAGCCTCTGCTCAACTGTTTGGATCTCAGATGCCACTTAAAATAACTCATCTGAGTGGCAGCTGAGGATTACCTGAATCATTACAGATACAAGTACGCCATTCTCATCACAAAGGCAGCACTGAACCACTTAGACATGCTGTCCCACTTCCCAGGACAAGGAATTCACCGCAGGCTCACTTACCTCTGCTGCTTTCTGAGCCAATTCTTTCTTGATTTTGGCTTTTTCCAACTTGTCCTGGGCTTCCCTTTTCTTCCTCTCTTCTTCCATCCTCTTCCTTTCCTCCTCTTGTCTTTGTTTTTCCATTTCTGCAAACTTCCCCTTCACACTACCTGAGGATTTAACAGAGCATGACAAAAGTCTTCAACCTCCCCCTCCTTCCAGATGAATATCCATCTATTCTACCCTTTGTACCCTTTGTTTTGTCTTACCTGTGATTTTGGGAACGTAGGATTTTTCAACCTTTGCTGGCTTCACCTCTTCCTCCTCATCACTGGAAGCAAGTAGTTCTTTTATCTGTGGTAGATCAGATGGAGAGTATGGTGAGGTTACAGTTTAGCTGGGATCATCTCCTTTGCCACTCAGGAGCCATGCTGGTCCCAGCAAGAACAAGGGCCTAATCCCTGCTAATAGCCGGATCATGTGACCTGCAGGTGGGTCTGTGATTGGGCCATGATGTTGTTGCACAGAGAGGAGATGAGCGTAGGTGTCCAGGTCTGGCCAACTATGGCACGACTGTACACAGGAAGGTTGTTCTGTCTGAGTATCACTGATAATCCACTCACATAACACCGTATCACTGCATTTGTTTCACCACAGTCGATCTCAAAGTCAAGCTGCCTTAACTCTTGATTTCTTAATCTCTTACATTCCCCATTAATTTTCCCACAAGCAGCTTCTAAGTCAAAAAATATATCTTCCACACTTCATGTCAGTATCATACATGTATGTATTCTGTTTTTTCTAGTGCATCAATGAAGGAGACGTCGTCTTTTGCCCACCTCAAAACCTAAAGATATTCTGTTCACAATAAAATAAAATAAAACAGATAAAAGCAGCAAACGCTCACATTTGTACATTTACTCATGTACTGTACTTCTACAAGTTTGAGGTATTTCAATTTTCTGTATACCATACTTCTACTCCTCTACATTTCAGAGGAATATATTGTACTTTTTTATTCCACTACATTAATTTAATAACTTTAGTTACTAGTTACTTCGCAGACTCAAATTAGATTATACAGAATATAATCAACAAATTGGTTGTATTGGTTGTACAACTGGATGTACTGGTAAAGGTTAAGATAAGACTTTACTGGTCCCTGGGGTAAATTCACAAGTTACCCAGCATTATATAGAGTCATTAAATTACCCCCACCTTTACCAGCTGCAACATTAAAGTGATGTTCACATGAATGCATTCCTAATTATATCCAACAATATAAAGTTGTAAAAGCTTTGAATGCATGACTTATACTACACTGCTGTGTTGCTGCTTTTACTTCAGGAAAAGATCAAAGTACTTGTTCCACCACTGAGCAACACATAGTGTTTGCTGTTTTTCATCATTACACAAAACTGTTCACGATTTGTTTTGAATAGTTTCAGCATTACTGTAGATGCATTTAATGGTTTTAACGTCTTGGTTATGGTTTAATGGTTTTATGTTCATGTCTTTTCCTTATGAAGCACTTGGTGCATGTAATTTCTTTGTTGCAAAGCACTTTGAGCTGTGTTTCTTGTATGAAAGATGCATACAAATAACATTCATTATTATTACTATTATATTATTTCCCTGATATTTTCCCCTGATGTATTTGGTATATCCTAAAATTTGGGATCTTGATCACAATTTAAAATGAACTGCACTGAGCTGAACAATGTTTGGCTACACAAAATGCAATTTAAATGATGAGGCTACTGGAGGGCCAGTGGAGTTCTGAGTTCTGTTGTTTAGTGTTCCTTTTGCACATTGATAGAGTTAAAGTTACATTTAAAAAGCAAACAAACAAACGCTCCATCTTTTTAAGTCAAGCACAAAGCAAAGCTGAATGTTATATGAAGTAAAGATAATTAATAGGTTAATTGCATGAAACACTGTGTGGTCAATGTTGCAGTGCGGTGTATAGAAGACAGTGAATTCTCACTCAAACTGGCAGCCTTGTCCACCCGTCATGCCTCATCATGCCATGCAGGTCACGGTCAGAGGTTAATGGGGTTATCTGTCTTTGACCTGCTGCTTCCTGCGATTCCATTCTCTCTCCTTGACGTATTGGTCTTTCCTCTTCTGCTGCTCATCCTTGTTCCTTTGCCTGCTGCGCTCCTCTCTGGCCTTCTGCATGGCCTCATACTTGTTTGTCACATCCCCCTTGTCTTTGTTCATCTTGGGCACGTAGCTTCTGGCCACCGGCTTTCTGGATCGGAGGAGTTTCTGTGGTTTAACAGTCAAAAAAGAGAAAATGATAAGAGAAAGTTATCTTAAGTAACAGGGGGAATGGTTTCTCTCAAGGGTAATATTCATATGGAGGACAATCACATCATCTAAGATGTTGTAAAACTAATGTTTATCATCTTGGGTTTCTGTCTCACCTCTTTCTTAAGAGCCAAATCAGACATATTCTGATCTTCATTTGTGTCAGGTTGTGCATCCTCCTCCTCCTTCTTTCTGTCCTGTGATACTCCATTAACAGCTCCTGATTTTTCATTTTTCTCTTTGGCTGTGTCGTTTTCTTTGTGCTCCACACCGTTCATATGTGGCTTGTCAGTCTCGTCACTCTTTTCTTCATCATTCGTGTGGCAAGGCTTTTTGTCTTCTGTGTGTGATGCTTTCTCACTTTTCTCCTCAGTGTCATCATCTTCATTAACCGCCACATCATTCTCCTCATGTGTCATATCATCTACCTTACTTTCAGTTTCGCTCATGCTGTGCACGTTTTCATTAGTGACATCATCCATGTCGTGGACGACTGCAGCCACAACCTGCGCCACCTCCGTCATGTTTGTACCACAATGACAAGTTGACAAACAGGCTTTTTTAAAATGTCACCTGTAAAGCAAAGGAGGAACAGGGCAAATATTACTGTATTGTTGCATAATGCACAATGGATTTACTGAAGCCAATCTGCTTTAAACACAACAAAAGGGAAGAATTTTGACCATATAACATGATGCATCGCTCATTTCCACTGAATTATCAAATGTATTGCTTTTTAAATACAATATGGAAAGGGCTATTAAGCAATTAATTGACTGACATTGCAAAAAAAAAACTTAATACTTCATATTAATAAATTTATTTGAAAAAATTCAAGATAAGTAGCTGAATATCCATATGTGCTCTCACTGGATGTTACATGAATTTGTCATTTAATGCCTGTCCCTTCGTGTTAACAAGATTCACTTCTTTTTTTGACAAATTCTTGGTTAAATAGTTCATTTGTAAGATCTTTTCATAAGCCAGTTTTATTTGACAGTTAAATATCTTTTTTTTATCAAGTAAAACGTTTATGGACCTGATCTGGGGCTGGGATTTATATGTGCAACAGGCCCCTCTTTACAACAAAGTTAAGGGCAAAGAGAGCTGCTCCACTTCTCAGTATGTTGAGAAAGAGCGCAATGGAAGCTCTTTGACCTCTATTTATAGCCCACTTGTGGGTGCAGGACATGTGATCATGGCTATTTCTGACGAGTGATAGGCAGTTGGACAGAGCTCAAGTTGGCACCCACATGTCGCCCCACAGACCCTTGACAAAATGGCCAGACTAAGAGCTAGACAACTGGATGAATGAGAGACTGTTTGGACTGTTAGTCATCCAACACTAAAACTGTTGCTGTTTATCAGTGTCCTCAAATACCTATTCTATTCAGGTCTGAAGATCATAGTGTGGCACGACCCTGCTAATCAGGAGCTTGGCCATAATGTGTTGCATGGTATACAAATAGTGGAAATATAGAACTATGAACCACAGTCTATCCCATATCACTGTTATTTGGCCTATGATGCTCAGCACACAGTCAATGGAGTCCACAATGAGGTTTGACCACTACAGGCCTCAGAGGTGTGGTCAATGTAAAATGAGATTCAGAAGTCATCGGCCCAGCTTCACAACACAATAAAAAAAATACTCTCATGGCTGAAATTAATTAATTGTATTTTTCTCTTTATTATAGTTTGTAAGAGTCTACATGTGTGTTCATGCGTCTGTCAACACACATACACAGGATTTGCAAATTTGGCAAAATGTTTAAAATTAGAATAACAATAAATTTATAAGTAGTGACTATGACATTAAAGCAAGTTTCATAACATAATCATGGTGCTTGCTTAGTGCTTATTGATTGTTATCGGTTTTGATTCCCTTCATCTCCCAACCTCAGTCCTAGTAAGAAGTAGGTAAATGACAGGAGACTGAACAAAATAAGAGTTGTATCAGATCCTCATCGTCCATTTTGAAACTGCAGCAAGTGACAGTGTTTCGTCTGTTGTGTATTGATAAATACAATTTAGAATACTCAATGAAATAATCTTTCATGATTAGTTCTCAGTTCCTCTGAGTTAACTTTCTAAAAAAAAATCCAGTTACAGGTTTTAGGTTTGGCTGGTGATGTCCTATTTCTGTACTCAGCTGGCACAAGATATCATGACTCTGTGTAAGAAAAAATAGTTTGACACATATACAAGTGGATTAATATGGTAATGTATCATTCTGACAACTACAACCTATACCAATCTGAATTATATTGATTCTTTCCGTATGACTGGTTACATATTGTGGAGTAACTAATACTATATATAACTGTAACTCACCACAATTTTAAAAGAAAATAGGCTGATGGATTTACACATGCAGATGCCAGATACATCTGATGCCTCAGGCTACGATCTGTTTAAGACAACTATCAATTAAACTCAAGCAGCTTTGACCTTGCTTAATCATGGCGAACAGGCCAATCTGTGTTTTTTCAGACCTAATCTGGCTACATGATCTATAAAATGAGAGTTTACCTCTTTAGCGTGATGTCTTCCTCCTGTGTATGGTTTTTAAAAAAAAAAGAAAGAAAAAGAAAGAAAGAAATCCTCAGGGTAGATATAAACCAGAAGAAGTGAAACTCTGGGCCAAGCGGGACAAATCCGAGATCTGATCACCCGGTGCACCAACTCGACTGGCTGCTGGTTGTGTGGCGATGAGCCGTTTCCATAAAAGTACCGTTACTTTCTACTGGATACTGCATTCCGCGCGCGGCTGCCACAGGTTCAGCTGTTGCCTCGCGCGGGCGTGTGCACAGACACACACATGCACCCACTCAGGCCCATCCTGATCACTTGCAGTCACAGCTGCATAAATAATGTTAATAATTTGTCAATTTTTTTGTTCGAACTAATGGGACCAATTACTGTGTTGTCAATGGTTATTTTGTAGTGATTTATTGTACATAGTTACTCTTTGACCTGAGTGATTTCATTTATTCTAGTCCCAGTTCCCACACATTAACCACAATACACTGTGTGATAGTGTGTCTGCACTACAAAAGTTTATTTATGATGACTATGGCTGCAGTTCTATAGCCTACCATAGAATACCACAATGCCAGCAGGATTTTGTTTTGTTTTGCATAAATTATCTTATCTCCAAATATCTCCAAATTATGGCAGTGGTTTTGATGTGCAACAACAGATCCCTTAATAATATGCCTAATGTTAATATGCTGCTTATTACTTATTGTCTTTGTCCTTTCTCCTGTCTGCCTTGATTTTGTCATCCATTTGCCATTTTCTATTTTCATAGGTATTTAGCAGTTATAAGAAGTACCCTATATAAAAACTAAATAAACGGTTTATAACACCTTATAATGTAGTTGTGTGCTGGACATTTTAAGTGCTTATTAATGCACAGTATTTGTCAAGAATGAAAACTGTGCCTATAAATACATATTATTACAATTATCCTGTGGGCCTCTACTTATGGTAGCCACAGAAGTTTGATAGTTGTTATCAAATACATTATTAAACACTGAGATCTGGTTACCACTACATTATAGGGTGTTATAAACAAGTATTAACTGTTTATGTAGTGCTTATAGATGCTAAATATGGGGACTTAAAATGTCGCTAGTTTTATTTTCACCAGGGATGGACTAACAAGAAAAAAAGTAGGTGAATTGTCTGATACAAGAGAAACTAGACACTCTTCTGGTCATGTCTGTTTGGGAGCACTACAGTCTAAATTCAGACAGACATGTTGGCCTGTTACAACCAGGATTCCTGACTTATCAGTTAAGAGGGACACCGGCTTGCCCTTTGCTGTGATAATGTGATAACCTAGATATTGCTGTCATTCTGCTATGCGATGACGGTTGGAACTCATATCATCATGCAAAGAGCCACTCATCACCAGTGTTTCAATATGGTCACATGCAGTCAGTAACGATAAATTCCTATATGTCAGATATTTTGAAGTAATATATAAGCTCACAGGATAACATATTCATTATAGTCCTGACACGCTACCCAATGGGTAAGTCTCATTTGAACTCTCACTGTGGACGGATGTAAATAGAATCCCTGCTGCAGACACACTTTGTCTGCTCCACTGGCTCCATCCACAGCTGCTGACTCACTGACCAAACAGGCCTGGGGGAGAAAATACAGCAAGTCCCCATTCAAGTATTCTAGGAATGTTACAGACTTCTTGAGAAGTGGCACACAAAAGCTTTTGGTAAATTTGCAGTTACACAAATTTTTTATCAATATGTAAATAATCATAGTATATATATATATATATATATATATAATATATATATATATATATAAATATATACAGTGGCTGCTGAAAGTATGTGAACCTTCCAGACATGGTCACTGTTTTTGTAAAAAACATTAAAAGAACCTTATTTACACAGACATCCAAATCCTAATTTGTAAAGCACACTTTCCAAATACTGGACACACACACAAAAAGAGATATTTTTCCATTATGTAGTTCAACAAATGTGGTTTATTCACAAAACACTGAAAATGTAACATGTGCAAAAGTATGTGAACCCTTCCAATTAGTAGCTTGTGGCTCCTCCTTTTGCAGCCATTACTTCAACCAAACATCTTCGTGTAACTTCTAAACCAGTCTCTCGCATCTGCTCATGGGGATTTTTGCCCAACTCCTCCTTGCAAACTCGCCAGTTGAGAGAGGTGGAAGGACATCTGGCATGTACCATCTTCTTCAGGTCTCGCACAACAATTTCAAATAGGATTTAGATCTGGACTTTGACTGGCCAATCCAGAGTACGAATCCTCTTCTCTGAAGCCATTCCTTTGTAGTTTTGCTGGAATGCTTCGGGTCATTGTCTTGTTGCATAATCCATTTTCTCCCAGCTTCAACTTTTGACTGATGGCAGGAATTCTGGTCCAAGAATATTGTTGATATGCCTGATGATATCATTACCCTGGATAATAATGGAGTCGCCCAGTTCCCAGAACCAGAGGTAGAAGCAGCCCAGATCTTCACATTTCCACCACCATGCCTTCACTGTAGGGAGGAGGTTCTTTTCTTCATTTGCAGTGTTTGCTTTTCTCCAAACATGGCGGTTTTTTGATTGTGACCAAATAACTCTACTTTAGATTCATCTGTCCAGAGATTGGACTCCCAGAAGGCCTCTGGTTTGTCCAAAGTGCTCTTTGGCAAAGTTTGAAACGGGCAGCTTTGTTCTTTTTTGAGAGCAGAGGCTTCCTTCTAGCAACCCTCCCATGAATGCCATGGCTATTCAATTTTCGTCTGATCGTAGACGCATGCACATTTTGTCCCAAGATGCTACCAGAGAGGTCTGCAACTCTGTAGAGGTGATGTGTGGGTTGGCCTTTACCTGACTTATTATTTTTTCTGGTGGCTTCTGGGTGATAGTTTTGATGGCGCCCACTTCTAGGCAGAGTTGCTGTCATGTTGAAGGGCCCTCCATTTGTAAATTATTTGTCTTACAGTCGATGGATTGAGCTGGAATCTTTTGGAGATGGTCTTATATCCCTCCCCAGACTGATGGGCTGTCACTACCCTCTTCTTCATGTCCTCGGATATCTCCTTTCCTCTTGGCATTGTTGATGCTGTATGGGACCAAGTTGGGTTTGGTTTGGTTTTCCTCTCTCTTTTAATTAGTGCAGGCCAATCCCTTTCCCAAGGATGTCTCATTTCATTGGTCTACTGAAATGATTAATTAAGCACTCAAATGTATTTCACCTGAGTCTGTTACCTGCTTGACTTAACCAATGCAGCGGGGATTCACTTACTTTGCACATGCACTAATTCCATGTTTCATGTAGTTTTGGGCTACTTAAACAAGTTCCACTAAAAAAGTACAAGCAATTTGATAAACATATATCTGACATTTCCACTACAAAACTAGTGATGATAAAAATAAGAAGATCATGGTAAACAACAGAACATACTGAACTGCTCAAGGGGTTCACATACTTTCAAGCAGCACTGTATATAGTTTGGTACACTGTAATAGGCTATGACATTCACATGGAAATTATAATGTGAAATTAACAGGTTGAAGGTAAATGTCAGGGTAAGTACGATTGTTACATATTTCAGCAATCACTCACTGTGAGGCTTTGGGAAAACCCCAACAAGAGGGCCAAAGCTCCCACTAATACTTTACTTAGAAGTGAAATCTGAGAGCCAAAGTATAATTGGAACAGAAAGAAATGGGTGATTCTTTTGATAAAAGGGATTGGAAGGTCTCTGTCTGCGAAAAGTAAAGCCTTCAGGTGTAGGCAGAGAGAAACAGAACCGATTAGTGGTTTTAATAATTCAAATATAAATAATAAATGTACTTCAAACTCACAAAGCAGGCGCAGAGTTTTCAATTGTCTTTATGTTGTTCTCTCTGGGCTTCATTTTTCTACTGTATCTGATATATGCACTGACATGGATGCATGGGTTTTTGTTAGCCTGCTGTGTCTAAATGTGGGAACATGTAAATGTATTCTATTCAAAGTTACATTTGAACATGACAAGAAATAATTTTGGAAGAAAAGCATGTTTTGGAGTTGCTCTTTTCATTTCCTGATTTATTCACTTCCTGCTAAGAAGGGGCTCCGTCCTCCTCTGTTCTGCAGGACATCAGAGACAACAAGGGGACTGCTTTAAATAGCACCACAGCTGTGGCAACTAATCAACCCTGCACGGACAGCTAACCTGAGTCAGACTGTGCGTTACCCTCAGCTGCTGCAGCTCAGTCCTGACACCCCTATGAACATTTTTGCAGTGGTACAGCCCCACACCCCCTGCTGAAGCCCCAGTAGACTAGCTCAGCAGGTCAAAACTGTATCAGTGCTGGTGGATGGACACATCAGTGCCACCTGTCCACAGAACCATTTTCACTTCATATCAGCTGCTATCAGATAAAAAAAAAACAGCTTATTCTGTGAACAGTGTCTCCCCGTCCACTTTCACCAACCACACAAACTGTCAACAAATCATCCAAGATTTTAAGCCTCCCCCTCCACCATCTGAAACACTGTGTAAAAAAAAAACAACAACAAGGAGACACTACAGGTTCCTGTCCACCAAAACATGAGAAACCTTCTTCATTAATGTCTAACATACAGTATATTCTGCTGGAACTCAATCGTGCCAGTCATGTCTTGACCTTGCCTGGGTGCCTATAGGGATACTGGTGTTGTTGAAGTGAGTTTTTCAAGAAAATAGAGGAATGCCACTGAGCTGCAGTATAGTATGCTGTTCATGGATAACAGTTTCTTAAGACAGACAACTGTAAGATGATCTGAAGGCTGAAGAGATGTCGGGACGCTCTACTGTGTTCTTGCTGTGGGTTTGCATATGCTAACCAGACTAGAGTGTGAGCAGACCACATAGGTGATGAACTCTGGTGCACTCTGATGAACTATGGCGTCTCTGTCTTTTTTCCAGTTGTACAGGGTTGACTGAGGTGAAATTTGGTGCTGCTGAATTAACTGGCCAAAATGCTGCAAGCTAAAAACTACACAGATAAGTTTCGCTGTTTTGCAGAAGACCATCAAGTTCTCAGCATACAGTGCCATTTCTTTTTAACTTATCAATGTAGAGATACTGCAGAATTTATCTCTACAAGGTTTGCAATTGAACCATTTCTGTCTTGAACTACATGGGTAGAAAGTAATGTCATAATTTCCCAGCTGTGACCACTGAGTTCTCAGCTGTCATGAGGGAAAAAGGCAACTCTACCACAGAACAGGTGCTGACTGTGGGCAGAGCAGGCCACACTCTTACCAGGCTGCTTTAAAGACAAAGCAAACTTTTACAAGTGAGAAAAAAAGTGCTTTTTTCAACATGAAATTTTGCAGAGAACAGGTAATGTAATTAAATTCAGTACTATATGCAAAAATGTGAAAAGGGACTGATATAATTTATATAATATAATCATTTAAAGTCTGGCAACAGTACACTGCAAGATTGTCTTTGAAAATAACTATTCCATCCACAGGTAGGATGTGGTCTGAAACAGCCCAAAGTTAATTTGAGCCCTATCAGTTAACAGGCATTCCTAAGTCAGACATAACTCTTTATGACTGGTTTGTTGACAGTGCTGCTATCCATGACTGGCCACAGTCTCACAATCTCTCAGTCAAACTCAATCTCACAACACCAGCCACTGCATTGTCAAAGACATATGATTGTGCACCAGTCTATACTTGGTACCATGCTCTGATCTCTTATACAGGCGTTTTGTTTGACTGTTTTTCCTTAATCTGTTGAAATAATGAGGAAGGATACATTTTGCCTCCTCAATTGTTCAATTAAACCATAATGCCGTTTCCTTTACAGATACCACTCAAGTTCCTTCCTGTTATTAACACTGAGGTGTGAGTGCTTGTGCAGAATTCATGGATCTCTCACTGCCCCCTAGTGAAAACAGCTGGAACGTTACAGGTTAAAAGTCTTCACTTGTGTGAGTAAACTTTTACAAGAAAAGAGCCCATAGCCTATTTTGTTTATCTTTTGGAAAAGTAAGCCGAATGTGGTTTTATCAGTAGATTTTTGCTTATTGGATGTCCTCACAGCTATCACTGAATTATTTTGACACTGACAAAATCTTAAAAACCTGATGATCAGGCAAGTTCCGAAGCCTTCCAATTCCCTTTAGTCTACATGAGAGATCAAGATCTCATAATAATGAAATTTCTCATGACTATGACATAAGTCATTATGCACTTGAGTCACTGATGTACATTCAGTATTTCATGTGCTTTAGCTCAAAGGCTCTTCGCAGATAAAAGTAGACTGAAACATGGAAACACGAACTTAATAAGGGAGTAAATGGTGGTTGTGTAACACAGTTCCTTATTCTATCAGAGATTACAAAGCCTGTTTTTCCTTCTACATTGTTTACACATATTTACATTGTGGCATCAGATCATGTCAGCACACCAGAACCAATTATCAAGTCATGCAAAATGAATTTAGATCAGATGACTGATCTTTTCTGTTGCTTATGTAGGCTGCACACTCACACAAGCGTCTGAAATATGGCATGTGATATTGTTGGGGCAACACATTGCAAGAGCTGGTTAGGCCTCTCTTTGAGACTAGGAAACAGAGCTCATCCTCTTATTTCATGCTCTGGCTCAGTAACACAGTGTGAATGTTTGAGTTCCTTCCTCATAGAACAATGTACACAAAAATAATCATAGGTGATCACTATTGCCAACTTCCAGTCAGTTTTGAAGTGTGTAGCAAATAGCATAATTAGTCGATGTATTTGCTTCTAAATTTGTTTGTTTTTACATTATTTTAGATATGTTTTTTTTCACCTGTTTATGCATCTTAACTGGATATGATAATGCCTTACTTTAAATCTTTGGATTTCATAAGCGACATATAAACTGTTAATAAACAGGAAAAATGGTGGAGGTACAGTGTCTCATTTGAAAATATCTGAAAAGATGAGATTGCAGTCCAAATGTGGATAATGAGTAAGAAAAACTAGAGGACATTAGAGGACAGTATCCTCATGCAAATACTGAAATATCTTAATACCTTTACTGTACCACTGAAAGTAAGTTGAATCTAAGTGATGAAATGAAAAGGGTTAATATAGTTTGGAGCCAATGGAGCCAAAGATAAGAACTTAACATGGTTTTAAGGTGCAGGACCACTGGGCTCTCTCTACAATGTCTGATTTTCATAGGCACAGAAGAGTATGCTACAGGCAGAGAGGGAAGATGAGGTAAGAGAGCGCCTCCAATCTGCACCAGGGAGTGTTAAGGGACTCAACCCAATTAACAAGTTAAAGAATGTGTGTGTGTACAGTAACTTGTCGTTTATGATGTTTAGTGTAATTTTGTTACCCTAATTACAATATTAATGATGTTTGAAAAATAATATTTAATACATTTTCTGGTATTGGAACTGGTATTGGCTGAACAAAAGAAAGACCTATAGTTTGTTGAATCACGCAGGATTATAGGTAATAAGCAACTTTTAAAAGAGAAATTTGTGGCCATTGAGTGAAAATCTGTAAAAACTGAATGGATTTCTGCCTTACGATTATCAGTGGGGCACGGCAAAGCACGCACAGCGTCAATTCGTCCGATTTGAACAACTTCCTGGTCCGGGAAAATCTGACATTATCGCGATAGACAGCCCGTCTGTGTGCAGTTCCGCGGCGGGGGCCTGACGCTGGAATGCGAAACTACAAGTTATTTAGCCAAAACAAAAAAATTGACAAACCTCGGCGCGCCATTTCAGACATATCTCAACTCTCCTAGAGACTCAGCTATGGTCTGAGCCATGAGGGAGACGCTTAACATATGGTGAGTTTTAACAAGAGGTTCGCGCTAAAGCTCGCTGACTTTAGCATGGCTAGCTAGCTAATCCATCAACACCCAGGCTTGTGACAGCTGACCAGCCAACAGGACCGAGCTATGGCTAGCATTAGCAAAGTTAGCTGGCAGGCAGTTGACGAATTGAGTTAATCTTATTTAAACTTGTTTAGGGGATTGTCTTGCTGAATTAGTCACAGGTGACATTGGACAATCTCCCAGCGGTGGTAATGTTGTTTGCTGTAGTAGCCTCGCAGTATACCGGCTTGTTTGTTTGTCTGAGTGATGCACGGAGGCTAACTGATGCTGTTAACTAGCCTGCTAGCTAGCGATGGTATGTCGTCGTTGCTTGGTGCAATAGTATGGCTAAACAAACAACAACAGACTGACAGGCACCTTGCTAGCAACCGTGTGCTAATGTGAATGAATATCAGTGACGCTGGCGTGTTTTCTTTGTAGTTGTGTATTGTATTGTATGCCATTTCGCCTCTCTTGATGAATAAATTATGCTCTTTATGAAAACTCAGGTTGACATGCCTCACATTAGTATTTAATTGAAATATTCACTGGAATTACTGCTGACACATAGGGTGTGTGACAGACATTTTGCAGGCCAACAGTGCTAATGGGATTATTACAAGCATTCCCCTGACATCTGAGTTTTGTCTTCAGATTTGTCTGTCATCTCTGCACCTTCAGGGGATGAGACGAGATCGGGTATTTCCGCAACTGCAGCTTTGGGCTCGTTGACTCTCTGTGTTGGCTCAGGATGGCGCAGGGAGGCTCTCAGCTCGACTACCACATCCTGCAGGACCTCAAGCAGCGTTTCCCAGAGATCCCAGAAGGGGTAGTGTCACAGTGCCTTCTGCAGGTATTCACATTAATAAACATACATATTCCTGCATATGCTTAAAAAGCTGTTTGGAGAATGTTGAAAATTTGTGACAGTGTGATAACCACTTGGGTAGAAGGTTGTTTTATTGTATGCTATTTCTGTACTACTCTATTACCGCTTCTTGTATTGTCCCTTATGATGTATACTGGACAGTTAGGAAGTAAGATTAGTAATTAAGCACTTAAACACTCCCACTGATCCAAACTGTATGCCTGAGACCTTTCTTTTTCTGTCTCAGAACAACAACAACCTGGATCTCTGCTGCCACCTGCTGGCTCAGGAGAGTAATAGATACCTGTATGGAGAGTTCCATCACAGTCCAGAGGAGGGACGACTTAGCCGAAACCACATGCTACACATTAGCCTGGGCTACCCAGGCTCAGAGGCAAGCAAGGCAAATGGAGGAGCAGCAGGAGTAGGGCGCTCTCTAGTGCACAGCACTAGTGACAGTCACATCGAACCCCAGCGACCCAGCTACCCTGAGCCCCTGTCAGCCCCTGCCACCATGGCCCCCTCCCCGGGTTACAATCCTTTCTTTATGAACGATCAGAGTCGCTCGGCCAGCACTCCCACTCCTCCACCCTCAATGCAGGGCATGTCTCCCACATACTCCCCTGTCCCACGTTATACTATGAACCCTATAACAGTCACACTTTCACAAAGTATACCTACTGTCCCACAGGCTCTGCAGATTCCTCCTGGGCACTACGCTAACAGCACCAACACCACCCTGTATATTCGACCCTCACCCTCCCAGAGCCCACAGCCAGCGCCTTGGTCATCTTCAGGAGCGGCTGTCTATCAGCATCAGCAGTCCCCCTACAGTACTCCCACATATGGCTCACCTTACAGCTCCCCACAGCATCAGGTCCAGCCCCAACCACAGCCCCAGCCACAGCCCCAGCCACAACCCCAGCACCAGCAATATGTCTTCCTTCCTATTAGCTCCCCAACCATTCCCAGCATGCCCTACCATCACCAGCAACAACCCCAGCAACAGCCAGCTGTTTACAGACCCTACCACACAAAAAGCTCCCTAAAGAACCAGATAGAAATTACCCTGGAGGGTCCAAGACCACGCAGCAACTCACCTGTGCATACCCCTCACCCCCAAGGAGCGCTTTACATGCCCACCAGCCCCTCGCCCAGCTCCCCTTCGAGGGGCATCACTATGAGTGGACCTCCAGGCCCTGCAGCCTTTCACCCTGGGATGTACCTGCAGCACCAGGGCGCCACAAGGCCTCGGCCTGCCTCCTCTCCTCAACCAGGCCAATCAGCCTACACTTTCAAAATCAAAGTGTCCCCTGGAGGTCAGGCCCAGAGGCCGCCCAGCTCACCTCCTGTGGCCGAAGCTGAGTCTCTTCTCAACATAGTAGACCAAGGGGAGCACAGTGCTGCCCCTGCACCCATTTTACCCATCTCCGCTCTACCAGGGAACATTGCCAGTCAGTTTCACCAAATGCCCCGACGTTCAAGCTCAGGCTCTGATGACTATGCCTACACACAAGGTAAGGGATTCCTGTTTTTTCTATTACCCTGCATGTGTGTGTCACTAATGTTCTCCAGTTGGAGTCAATGTTTGATGTGTGTTTGGGGCTGTGCTGACGAAAATAAAGACTAGGCCAGCATTTAGCCTGATTATAGCTGATAGAAGACATTTAACTTTGTAGTTGTGTTCATGAAACCCCTGTTGAACAGAGTTTATCAATGCGTTTCAATTTGGAATTTGATGATAATTTTGTATCTTGGTGTTTAATACGTTTTCTATGTAACAGCAACATCCCAGTTTCATTCCAGCAGGATGCATTTGTTGCTTTTCGTAGCCCTTTCTCTGTCCCCATGTTTACAGTAGTTTTCACTCAAGTGATTTAAAGGGTTACGCTGTAAACTTTTTAATAATTGCAACTTTGTTACATTTTAAATTGGCATCTTTCTATTTGAAACTGACAAATACCTGTTGAATAAGAGGTAAATGATTATCATTTTGTGGTGTTAATCTGCTCTCTTGGCATACGTGGAACAATTTCCTATATTTGAGACTCTTCCCTCAGCCATATAAATTATGTAGGCTGTGTGACTGCTTTGTGTCTGTCCTCTTTAACTATTTTTGTTGTCTTGTGCTACATATTGTTAAAGTGGAGATTGTAAGAGTTTTTCTAAAACCAACCTAATGCAACTTTATCTTTTGTTTCAAGATCTGTCTGTGTTACTGCCTTTTAGTGTTTTTTCATGAGATGTTTTTGTCCAGCTTGCGTACCTTTTAATGTCAGTGGTTTGTAAATTGATGAAGAGCATTAACAGAGCACTAAAGTGAGACAAGGTTTTATATAAAATTTTATTATTTACTCTTGAATCTCACGCATTCTTGGTGCGTTTCCCTCCAGCTCTCCTGCTCCACCAGCGGGCCAGGATGGAGCGTCTAATGAAGGAGTTGATGCTGGAGAAGCAGAAACTAGAGCAGCTCAAGGCTGATGTCAACAACATGGAATATGATGCCCTTCAAAGACGCTTTCGACGAGTCAATTCGACCAGTCTTATACCCAGAGTAAGGACTGAGCATGTACATTGACTCACCAGTACATTGTTGCTAGTTACGCATTTGCAAATTTTATGTTACCACAAATCTTTTTATACATTTTGAGATGCTCACAATAGATGATGCACAACCACAGACTGTGGAATGAAGAATGATTTTATCAGTTCAGGGGAATATTTTAGACTCTGTCTTCATCTGTCATGGAGGCTTGGGAGGGTCTAGCAGGTACATTGCAATTGACAGTCTGAGTTTGCATCAGCCTTTGGACTTCTCAGCCATTTCAAAAAGCAGAGAAGGATTAAAGTTAACATTACAAACAATCCAATTTAGTTGTCCAGATGCAGGGAAAATGTAGCCATAAAAGTAATGATAAGGAAAATTGCATTATTGTATTATACAAATTGATTTCTTACCAATAAGAAGTTTGAAAGGGGCAGTTGGGAATGTTTGGTGGTCTGTTTTTGTGTAATCTAACTGGGTTGCGTGTTTGCACTGACTGCAGCCTGAAGAGATGACCCGATTGCGGAGTCTGAACAGACAGCTTCAGATTGATATCGACTGTACCCTGAAGGAGACAGATCTACTGCAGTCTAGAGGTATACATAAACACACACACACACGCCACATGAACACACAGAAATGCACATTCCTACAGAAACCTTTGAAGTGTTCCTCTGATTTATTTGAAAGCATTGATCTTGAAAGAGCCAAGCCCAGAAGCAGACAGAGTCGGGTCCAAAGTGATGGATGGGGCTCCATCTCACTGCATACAGATGCAGCATTCTAACATGACCGGCTGGTCTGTGACAGGACACAGGCTGATCCATGGTTGACCCTCATTGGGTCTGTGCACAGTGTTTGGCTGGTACGTGATCCTTGTTGATTACGTAATTGATAACAGTACTGCCTCGAAATGCCCCTAACCACACTGTGGAAATTAGTTGCAATGGTTTATCTATTTACCTGGTGTGGTGAAGTTAGATGCTGAAACACCGTAAATGGCAGCAGGATCCAGAGTGTGACCAATTTACTTGCAATTAGCCCAGTGCCACTGAACATTTGGGCTGTGGTCTTTTTGGAAAACAAATCCCTTCCAAAGTCACGGTTGTCTTGCAGACTGCAGCAGGGTTTCCTCCGGGATTTATTTGTACTTTACTGTGTTTATCTGACCCTCTACCTTAACACGCTTTGCAGGGCTTTCTGTAGAGAAGCATCCCCACAGCATGATGCTGCCACGTCAGGCTTCATGGTTGGGATGGCATATTTCTGGTGATGTTTGGATTAGAGCCCAACCGGTACAGGATTTTTCAGGCTGATACAAATTTTGATATTTGATAAATCTGATAATGATGTATTGGACAGTATTAGTATTATTATTATGATTATTATTGTTGTTGTTGTTTTTACAAACGCATGAGAACAGATTTTTAATAAATATCCTTTTCATTTAGTTATTGAGAGAGGATGGGGACTGTCTGAATCAGCTTTCATTGTCATTCATTGTCATTGTTTATGTCAAGTATTTTTCTGCTGGTCTAATAATATTCCCTCTCATATAACCAGTTCTAGCCAGCTGTTTTGAAATGTGATGGTCAGACATTAATTATCAAGGTTTGTGTTAATTCTGAAAAGGTGTTGTGATTCAGTTTTAAAATTTTGAGACAAACTACCAGTATAAATATCTTTGGTCAAAGTTGTGATTGTTTGCAATGCACTGACTGTAACTGGACTGATGCGAGTGGATATATTTACCATTATGTCATTTAGGCAGTATGAGTATAATGCTATATGTTAACGGCTTGTTAGCTGCCTTCCACTTACAAGCCATGACATTATCTAGAATCGTGGCTAACTAATTTAGCAAGCTGTGAGCAAGAAAATTAACTGTCTATTTCACATTAACATAAAATCAAATTTGTCAACCTATAGCCTAAATAGAACAGGATTAGAACTGTTTTATGTTATAAATACAACTAAATACCATTTCTAGAGCTGCAACAGTGATGTTCACAGCAACTCTATAAACTCAATATCTTACTGGAAAGAAATCTAAAATGTCAGTAAAATAAATAATACATCTGACATTATCTAAAGTTTAAAGAGAATGACAAACACAGACATCAGTAAGTATTAGTCCTTCCTTCTGTCCCCTGTCGTCCTCCCTCTGCTGCTGGTGGAGATAATGCTGGTAGAGAGAGGACGGGCTGCTTTGTCTCAGCCAGTAACTCAGTTAAAGATTTGTGGAAAACTGAGATAATCAGTTAGACGACATACAGACAACTTTCGTTTTAGCTTCTTCATAACAAGACGCTATTAGCTCAACTACTGTGCTGTGGTTGTGTAAAGCATGCTGGGAGACTGCGGACAAAACAGTAAAAAAAAAACCAAAAAAAAACATACATTTTCTACATGCTTGTTGAACAGGTTTGATAATGTACTTATTGGCCTTTTACTTTTTATTGCACTGTTGCACAGTAACGTAAATTACAGTAGGCTAATAGTCGCCACCTTGAGTAATCTTTGAGTTATCTGTTAGTCAGGGTGTGCATGAGAGCGTGCTTAGCATATGTGCCAGGGGACTGCTCAACCCTAGCTGTCCCAACCTAGCTGAGTTGTTATTTGTTTGTCACAACATGAAGCAATGGAGCTTGGCGATAAAAATATTTCCAGGGGAGCACTTTATATACGGTATCTCAAAACAGCCTGTTCAACGAGAGAACTTTGTTTGCAGAAAGTTCAATCCAATTGCAAAAATAAATCGATAAATCAAGTTAACATCTGAGTATAAGCCTGTAGCAGTTTTATATTTCTGCTTAGTGCTAAAACTGCGTAGTCTACTCTAAGCAGACAATAAAATCTAATGTTGATAATTGTTTCATAAATCATATTTGGAAAAGCATCTCTGGTTATATGAGCACTCAAGAAAGAGTGAACTTAAACGGTGTCTCTTATGTCAAGTGAAGAAAAAATAAGGCGCCACCTTCTGGTAAAATCCTGTAAATGTGTGAATTGTGTTTGAGTTGGCTTATTTATTGTACTGGGGGAAAAAAACGCAAGAAGGGCTGAGTTGGTTGGGGCATGTTGCTTCAGGTGCCAGTGAGATGATTAAATACAATCCATGGATGGTCAGTTTGACCAATGGAACTATGAATTTTTGGATGCCAAAACATTTCACGGCAGTTTATAACACAATGAGACAGGGTTTTACAACTCAAGTTATTACTGCAATAATCATTTTTATCTCCCCATCATGATGATCCTGATGTAAACACCAGAATTAAGTTGTTCATGTTACAAATTGGTCTAACAGGAATGTGTGCGCACTTGCATAAATTTGATTGACCAATATAGTGCGTAGCCAGACGATGTTTCATTATGTTGCTGTAAAAACTTAGCTAGGTTCAGTTTTTTTGACCCTGCATTCTGTTTTTTGTCTTGGTAATGTGCGTGACAATGAATGAGGAGGCTGCTTTTGTATTTCTGAACACAACAGCTTGTCAGGAGGCCCAAAGAGTGAAGCTGGATTTCTGGCTGGGATGGGCACTTCTAAACAAACTTCAGTATCTGATTTCTGCTTTCCTCCACAGGGAAGTTTGACCCAAAAGCAATCAACAACTTTTATGACAACATTGAGCCTGGTCCAGTTGTGCCGCCTAAACCTGGAAGGAAAGGTGATTGTCCAAAGCCATTTTCAGGGCATAAACATGAGTCTTGAGATATTTTCAGGATGTGCAAAGGAAGAAAAATACATGTTCTTCAGGGTAGGATCATATGTTAATACTGTTGCCAAGATACAGATTTGAGTTCCAGCACATTGAAGATTTGGGACATTTTTGTTTGAAAACCAAGAATAAAAGCTTAACTGACTTTGGTCTGTGTTGGCCTCCACAAATCTGTTGGCATGGAAACTAGATGAGAAACCTCGCTATTAAGTGAATGCACATGTCTATCAACATTTATACTTGAATGGTTGATGCTGGAATGCGTGCCTCACACATATTTGTTGAGTGACAGCCATGGTTAATTCCAGCCCTGAGTTGATGACACTTAAATTGTTGTTACGTTATGCTCTTTATCGCACAAATAAACAGTCTTTTTCTTGTCCTGCTTCTTCGTGTTTTTGTCAGAAGGGGAGCAGAGCTCCAAGCCAGTGCCAGGGCCTCAGAGGGATGAGGACTTTGAAGGCGCCCAGTGGAACTGTGAAAGCTGCACCTTCCTCAACCACCCTGCACTCAACCGCTGTGAACAGTGCGAGATGCCGCGCTACACCTGAGCTTAGCTCTGTGCTGTATTGCCCACCCCTGCCCCATCCCTCGCCAATCCTTGGATACTATAAGCCACACCCCTCCAGAATCTGCAGAATCTGTCTAGAGGTCTTCCCTTGTCAATCAATATATAAGCCCCTCTTACCTGCTGAGGAAGAGCCACTATCCCTTTCTGCCGACTTGTCCTGTTCCCATCCACTACTCCTGTGCACTTTGACCCTTGTTTCTGTTGGCGGATGATGAATCTTTTCCTGGACAGTTGGAGACTCTTCTCATGGCAAATGTATAAAAGAGGGAGTGACATGCTGCGACTCTGGCAGTGGTTGGGACGGGGCTTCAGAAAGGTCAAAGCAATTGAGGTTTGAGGAGGAGCTATGGTTTACCTAGCTAACATTCCACGCAGAATGAGTGACTGCCCTGTTTACACAACTGCGCCCATTCCTGAACTGAAAATGGAGGAACTTCCACTTTAACCCAGGACCTGTAACTCCCTCTCTGACAGTGGAACAGTGAAAGCAATGGTATATAAGTTCTGACTAATGCGAAATGTAGACTGTACACTGTATCTGGCTCTGTATTAGAGCTCATTTCACTGAAAGAAGAACACTAAAGAGACTTGCATACAAGTATATTCCTGGTACTTTTATGCATATTATGCCACCCTGTATTATGTGTTCAAAAGATGTCGATTTCCTGTGCAAATGCCTCAACTTGCTGTACTTAATAAAGGAGCTGATTCTATGTGACTTGACCATGCACAGCTAGCATGTGAGCATAGTTTGTCACAATTCACATACGCTCCTTTTTCCCAAATGAACCAAACACACTTTTTTTGCACAGTACATGTTTATTATGTTAGTAATCAAACCAGTGGAAATACAGCAGCAGATTGTAGTGGCATGCACACACACTCACTTTCACTAATGTTGCAAGAGGGAATTGGAGAAGTTTCTGACCACCTTGAATGAGGTTTGAGAAGAAAGGCATTACCAGAGCATTTCTTCTGCCCCCCCCAAGTCTCACCTCCCATGACCACACTGTCCTCCTTCAGGTTTGAAACTTTCCAGTTTCACCTTAATTGATCCAGAAATCCTCATAACACTACTTACCCACAGCACATTGCACTCTGGCATTTCCTAAAGTACTGTATCAGGGACCTTAATTTAGATGCAAAACTAAATATATTGACTTTTTCATTAACTTGTGATTTTCTTCTACAGCTTCTCCCTGTCAGAAAACTGTTGTATTTTTTTTTTACAGTGCCTACCCTACTGAGAGCATTCCCCTTCCTACAGACTGGGAAGATAAGGAGGCATCACATGGGGAGGTGTGTGAGCACATGCCGTGTGATGTGATCATGCAGACATGCACACACACTCAGCAGACATGGTCATTTGCCATCTTCCTTCCCACTGGTCTGCTTGGAATGAATAGTACTTCATTATACTTACTGCACATACTTACATATAATACAACAACTTTATCAAAAAGCCGGTATAACGGGTTATGCTGCAGGCTTACATTGTTGGCCAAAGCTTTTACTGCTATTTACATGTGACAGACTCTGCTGTTCATTCACCAGTAAATGCTCCTCTCACCAGTATGATATGATTTGGAAGGTGCCTGTGGAATGTTTTTACTGTCTTTAGGTAGCTGACCCTTTTAAATAAGGCAAGAGAAAATAAAGCCAGTCCATTGGAACTTTCACCGTGCTTTCACCCATCTATTATACTCTACTGGAGGAAGAAGATGGCCAAGTTCCAAATGTTGTGTATCTCTGGGGAAATGTAGCATGTTGCATTTCCTTAGGTGTGCCCTGTCTCCCTCACTTAGTCATTCTCGGGATATGACTTCAATAAGACATTTTCCTGCCTGGAGCTGTTAATTCCCTGATTGGCCTGAGTTTACATCATTCCTTTGCCTCCTCTCCTCTGATTGGTTAATTAGTCCACCAATTCGTCCTGGTATGGGGTCAGTGAATCCATCTGTTCCCTCCAGATTTTCAGCCCAAATCTAAGACCTACTGGAGTTCCACTTAAAGGGGACGCAGATTTATCTGAATGATGACATTCTCTCCCAAATTAAATGGACTGGTTTTAGATTTCTTTTTCACAGCCGGGTTTTCTGCCAAAACCCCTAAGAGAGCACGCGGCTTCAGTCCAATAAGCGAGGATAGTCTTTGAGACAATAAGTTCACAGTATCAAATGGAAGAGCTCATTTCCAGCTCTGAAACTAACAGTAAGCATTTGTTTTTCCTATTTTTCTAGTCTGTGGTTGTGCACTGTGTAACAGACAGAAAGTTCCTATTACTGAGAGGACATTGGTCAAACAGAGAGTCCTGGTTTCTCCTCTTGTCTCACATATTTTAGTAGTAGTCTTCATAGTTCTTCGGGTTGAGGCAGTAGAGGATGGCCCCTCCGAAAGAGAAAATGGTGGATCCCCAGGCCAGGCCGTAGCCCCAGTTAAACTCATGGTACACCCTCAGGCTGACTGTCTCAATGAACTTAATGGGGAACAGGACCAAGCTGCAAACCTGAAGCACCACTGCAAAGGAAAAAGGGGGAAGAGAGAAGGTACTCATGTCAAAAATACATATAAAATGATGAATATTTAAAACACTGACCAACTTACAAAAGCTGGAGAGAGATACGAGCCATGCTAATGTCACTAACGTCCTACATTCACACTTGAAATAATGAAGCCTGATAGCCAACCTACTATGGACATACATTTTTTTGTCATTGTTTTTGTGTTTTTGGATTATGCCTCAGTTCTCCCTCTTCTTCTTTTTTGCTTCCAAAAGGACCCAATTTCTTTACGTACCTGCAGAGAACAGCATGACAGCCACGGGCTTGTAGCAGCGACTCCTGGAGCTGAAGCACAGGGACACGAGCGCCACGAGGAAGGAGAGCAGGGTGAGTGCTGCCCCCCCTAACAGCAGGGCCAACGTGGCGATCTGCCAGTCTGAGACAAACACACACACAAGGACAGAGAGGGGGAGGGGGGGGCATGAAATCACACTGAGATAGAGCGTGACATAGGTAGCTAAAACGAGGTTACTCTGGAGAGCTGTGTCTGCGCTGTTGACAGCAGGGAGAAAAGTGGAGAGATATGTGAGGAGGGATAAAAGGAGAAAAGAGAAAGGCAGCAGAGTGGGTCACAGGCCATATTGGTGAGCCACAGTAACACTGCCATGCTCAATCTCACACAAGAGAAAAATAAATTACCGCAGAGTAAACACAAACTATTTGTGGTTCAGGGGCTGAGCCAACTCCCCGTTCATATTCTGAGAAGCTGGCGATGGCTCATAATGTTTTGATGTGAGCCACTGGGGATCCACCGGGCCAGTGGCAGAAGAAGAATGTGAACCATGCAGCGAACAACCCTCGAAACCGAGCACAGCAGTTTGCGGCTGACAAGAAACAAACAACAAATGCACGTACGCTTGGCTACGCTCTGATTTCACCAGCTCAGTAATGGATCCCAATGCAGCAGAAAGACAAAGTGATTCTGTGAGGTGACTCAGATAATGAGTATCCCTCCCTCTCGGCTGATGCCAGCTCAGCAGCATTCTCAGCATTTCATTCAGATTTACTCCAAAAACACTCAACTGGAAAAAAAAAAATACAGTGACAAACTCGCCTCCTACCCTCATTGAAGTGGACACGAAAAGGGAACAAAAAGGGGAAGCCTTGCCTGTCAAAAAGAGAACAACATTATATAGGAGACTTTCATTTGCTTTGTGCAAATGAAAAAAAAAAAAATCACTTTATCAGAAGAAAAACAGATTTTTAGAGACATAATTAGCCACGGGACGTTAAATCAGGATTTTTGAGAGACACGCTATATGTTATTGTTTGGAGGTTAAGATTCTGTTTTGTAACTTTGCTGTGTACTCAAGGAAACAGGAGGTCTATATGTAAACAAGCAGAGGATATTATGATGAAGCATTTGATTGCACAGGAGGAAATCATTTAAAGTACAGTGGGTGGGAAAAAAATAAACAACATCAAAGCATAAAGGGGACTGGGCTCTACATAAGTGATTCAATATTACAGTGGGTGGAAAAGTTAACACTGACAGACTTCAGTTTGAGTATGTTTTGTCTTTTTTTTTTTTTTTTTTTTTTCAGTAAGAATACATGGTATTGTCTATTATGGAGCCCAACAAATAAAAAAAAGATTAAGCAATGCCAAGAATATTTCCTCTCCATTGAGGCAGAAAATCATTAAAACATTCACCAGCGGGGAGAAAGTGACGGAGCATAAGCTGCTTAAAATACAGTTCCCACTCGTGTTGGAGGGAAACTTTATTCCAGGGGCCAAGCAGCTCAAATATAAACAAACATCAACTACTTTTGACCAAATATGGTTCAGGATTTAGAGTTTAAAAATGGGCCCTGTCACCACAGGATGTTGGAACGAACCCACAAAAAGCAGAGCACCCGTTCCCTCCAGCCTCCAGCTTGCACAACACGAGGCCCCCTTAAAGACTGACCCCTTGACTTTCCCTGCCACTGCCTCACTGTCTGCCTCTCAGGAAGAGGGCCACCGCGACGTGACCTGCAGCTGTCACAGCAAATTGTTGGTGAGATATCTTCTCTAGGTCAGTTTGGTGCCTTCAGCCCAGCCAGTCTGCAACCAAAAGCCTTATCAGTGCGCCCCCATGAAACAGGAGGATGCAGAAAGTCATCTCATCTCAGATTTGGAACACACCCTGTACGCTGTGCAAGAAACACAGCCAGAGTTGGAGTGCTTAAAGGCTTCGAAGAGCAGGGAGCGCCAAACTATTAATCTGAGCCCCGCATGATGACAGATGGAAAAGGAGATACAGTACACAAGATCCAATCTGAGCATTAATTATAGTCCCCTGTGTGCATGTCAGGGACTGTTGGAAGTGTTATTTGAAAAAATCCTTAAGGGCCCCATTTTAGTTTCTTTGTCTGAGACAATGGTGGGAAGATTTGTGTCACAGAAGAGCCTCGAGTATCTCTCTGGCTGTCACACACACTCAAACTCACTCGCTCAGGGCAGCAGGATGGAGAAGTGTAGGTAGCGGGAAGATCTTCAACCAGAGGTCCCTGGTGCAAGAGCCCAGAGTCCTTAAGCCCTACCAGCGCTATATAGCCCACACTGTGCCGTGACCCCCCTCTAAGAGAAGACAATCGCCACAAATACGGGATCGATAACGTATTATATTATTAATATGCTTTGCCATAACTGCGTCTGATAGAGCTGGACTCACTCGCACACTGGCTCCACATTTGTCCCCTCATCTCGCACCAGCCTGGCATCCACACACACTTCTCTTGCACGACCGTTCCACATTCCTAGCTCTGTGTCGAGTCTGTATCTTTTATACTTTACCTCTGACCCCTATGCCTAAGTATGTGCGTGTGTGCGTGTGTGTGTGAGAGAGACAGAGCGAGAGAAACGGAAAGAGATATGTGTCTGTATATTTTAAACACTTCATGTGCCTGTAACAAGACAATATCTTATGATGTCTACTTTCTAATTCACACCGCATATTATTTTGTTTTCCCAGACACACGCATGCAGGCCTTGCTGTACAAGCTCAAAACATCTGAGCGGCCAGCTGGTGTTTCAGACTAACAGGATTTATTTAATGCCCGGAGCATGACACTGAGGAAATATTGGGGGGCTGACGAGAGGGGGGGTAGAAACTGATTACTGGGATTCAAATCAATAAGCCTAGCCAAGCACAAGCCTGAGGAAATGGGCAGTTTGCTGTGTGCATTTACTGTGGTATGCTGCTGCTGAGAGCTGAGAGCTGACACGGAGACTGCATGTCTTTATAAGGCACCAAAGTGCACTTTGTCTGCGCTGACAGAGGAGGATCGGGGCCAGCATGACCCACAGTTACTCATCTCTCAGACAGAAAGAAAACGTTTTGTCAGTCGAACACAAACACAGTTCACAACTTAGAACACAGGAGGAGGTCAGAGGCGGCAAATAAATATATATATATACAGTAGGAGCACACATAGACGCACACAAAATGTAAGCACCTATAGTCAGGGATAAAGTGCAGGATGAACCTGCTTTTATATTTGCGGAACAGAGTTCAGACAACTTTTAGCCTGGTAAAAATCATACTGAAAAAAGCACACACAAATATATATATATCTATATATCTATATATCTATCAAATATATGAGGCTATGATCATTTACAGCAGGTGGACGCAAAAAAAAAACCTAAAGAAAAACAATGCAACCCCATTAAAAGCTTGACAGAAGTCCAGAACTTTTAGTTTTTCTTATCAATTTTGGCAATTTCAAGGCTACATATTGTGGTGCTTGTATTGGACTTTGATTATATTGTAACATTTTGTAATTTGGTGCACCTTACAATCCATTGCAACCTAATACCACAAACTGTGGCCTAACGACCTGCCAGAGCTGGATCAGTTGCAATAAAAATGAACATTAAAGTAAATGACTGTTGACTTAGATCACATAAGAATTAATAGTTGCCAGGTTAAGGCATTTCCTGACATCATTGATTGTTGTTAATGCTGCTCAGTACAACCACCTTCTTTTTTTTCTCCCCCGAATGACCAGCTGTGGTGGAAATATGAAATGCTTCCAGACAAAGCTTAATGGGGACTCCATAACAGAAGTTTCCCTAATAGAGAAAATCAGCATTTCTGGAGTGCTTCACTTGTTTCCCTGGTTACTAATCTCCAGGCATCTGGATCTCTGGGGAGTTCTCTGCTCTGAGTTGCCCTCGCTCCTTGGCCGGTGAAGAAACCCACACAAAGGCTCATTTTGTGCGCAACAAAAGGCCAAATGAAACCCCAGCTGGACCGCTCCTGGCGGGGCAAAATTCCCACATCTTTCAGTGTCGCAATGGGCAAATGTTTCGGGGAAAAACTTAACTAGCCAAAAAAAAAAAAAAAAATCCAAGGTATAAAGGTATATTATTCATCAGACTTTCTTGGAAAACAGTAATGTGCACCCCATTGTTCACTGTCTTATTTCATGTAGAAACATTCTGCAGTTTAAATTAAGCAGGCAATAGCTAATTATAAAGTAATTAACATTTAGCACTCTCTAGGGTGGTGTTTTATAATTCTCACCCACAGAATAGATTGGTTCAGCAGCTCACCGTCTGCAGGGACCCTTTGTTATCCCTGCGCGCGGTGCATCTGACTTTCATTTGAATATGAATGTGGGTGTCTGTCTGCACCCCATGTTCTGCCATTTCCAGGGTGCAACATCCCTAAAACTACAACACCCAACCGGTGTAAAAGTTCCAAACAACATGGTGGCGCATCACCCCATCACTAGTGTAGGCTACAGGCACATGAGCGTGTCTCTCACCCGTGGCCAGAGTGCTGTTGCAGGACCACTCCACGGAGCTAACGGGCTTCCAGCAGGACACCCACAGGGACAGGTAGTACTGGTCATCTGCCGTGACCCACGCCGGGCTCACCATGGCGCCGACATCCAGGCACAGTGCTAGAAAGACGCACACCAGTCCCACCAACTTCAGGGGCGTCAACGCCGACACCCGGACCTCCTCTCCGCCGCTCACGGATGAAGCCATTGCCTATCTAAAGTAGCTCACTCATTTAAAACAAAAAGAAAAAAAAGAAGGAGAAGAACACGTGTGTCAACGCCGCGGGGGGTATGTGTCGTTCTTCAAGTTTACAAAACGAGTCAGGTTGAAGTTGTGGTAGTCCCCCCTGCCCGTGCCCGTGCTGTGGGTAGCAGGATGGGGACCGCCGCTCACTCCGCGTCCCGAGTCCAGAAGACGCTGCTGCCGCTGCTGTGGTCCCAGCGCTCTGCTGACGGGAGTGAGCTGAACATCACTGAAATAACACGGGGCTGCACCTGCTGGGTCCTAGTGCCTGAGTCTGCTCCCAGTTACGCAGCATCTCTCCCTCTGTCTCTCTCTCTGTATAGTCCTCATGTTCACTGATGAAGGGACAAGAACAATGTGGGAATTGAAGTGTGCAGCTTTTCATGGATGGATGGTGTATTTTAATCATTTCCACTGATAAACAGCCGTGGTGGAGGAAGTGTTCAGATCTCTCTCACACTGTTGAAAAAATACTTATACAGCCTAATACAAATAGGCCACTAAAGTTACAAGTAAAAGTTTTGCATTCATATTTTGACTAAAATAAAAAATAGCTACAGATGTGTTGGCAACAAAATTTACTGCAAGAATCAAAGTAAAAGTACTGAATATGCAGCAGAATGGCTCCTGTCAGTATTATCAGTATTCTGTCACATAGACTATATATATAACTTATTCTTAAGGAATAAATACTGTAGAATATTTATTTCTTAAATTGTATCATTTAATAAACATTTATACACATTTTCAAACTGTGTAGCCTATAATAGACTATTAATCTGAAAAGTTACCAACAGCTATAAAAAAAAAAAGGGGACAATCAAAAACATAAATTAAAACACTTCATCATACTAGTAGTGAACATAACAAACTGACTTAACTCTATCAAATGCTGTATTACAAGAAAAAAAAACTATTTAGACCTATAACCTGGTCACATCATCCACAAGAGACCACAGTCAAAAGCACAACAGAGAAAACTTTCAAACTTATCAACCTTTTATTATGGCTTCTTAAAACCTATTTTTTATTTCAAGGCTTTATGTACAATATGAGTCTTTGTCAGTGGATATTGTTGTGCCTAAAGACAGTGTGTAACCAGGAAAATTGTGGGGGTGAAAATGCTGTTTTAGAGGTTTTGCTGCTGTATTTTTGGGGAGTAATGTCAAATTTCTGTGGGATATTGCCAAGACTGCAGCCATTTAACTTCCATCCAATGTGGGAAAAGAAGTTATAGTGGTTTTGACTGCTTTTCTTACTCTCTTTCTCTGCTCTGTCTCTTCAGGTTATGCTTTGTTTAACACCCCATTTTCTGTCTTACACACACACACACACACACACACACACACACACACTCTGAGCTGAGGGAAGCTTACACTGCTCATTTTTTTCCTAATTGAACTTGGCTAATTCTTTGTCCTTAGGGAAGAATCTCGGAATGAATCCATATTGATTAACACAGACACGTACCCACACATGCACATGTGTCTGCACACACTTTTTAAAACAAAAGAAAATTAACTTCAGAGTTACATTTAAATAGAAATACAAACATCTGTGTTAGACTCCTTGTTAATTCCCAGTCAGTGCATGTAAAATGTTATTTGCCGGTTGGTGAAACCACTGAATTAAAGAAAACAGTGATGAATAAATCAATTTAATCAATCACAACCAAATACATGTATTACTTCTTTTATAGGCAGGTTTATATTATGATGGGGAAAATCCCACTTTCAGTCCTTCACTGCAGCTTTGATTTGGGCATGCGTGTGCGTGTGCGTGTGCGTGTGTGCGTGTGTGCATGTGCGTGTGTGTGCGTGTGTGCGTGCGTGTGTGTCGTTGTGTCTTTGAGCTACAGGAGTGTAGGTCAACTGTTCCTGGTGGCAAAGTCTTTCAACATCATTACTGATGATTACAGATTGTAATCAGTAGAGACTCGATGGGTGCAAACAGAAGAAACACACACACACACACACACACACACACACACACATACAGAGAGAGTGTTCTGGTCTAACCACACAGCAACAAAAGTCATCAATGCTAATGTAACATTGCTGCTGAGGGGTTACATTAAAACACGTGATCACATGTGTGAGGTACAAAATGCTACTGCTGAGATTGAAATTTTAAATTGACTGACACAGAACATTAAGCAAAAGTTAAACCGCATGGAAACAAATTGATGACTCTTGTCTCTTCCTCTGCCATCAATAACCTGCTGGCAGTGCACCACAGCTGATTAGTTGATGAGCAAAAAAAGTAAAAGCAAAATTAAAGCAGGTGGGGAGTCTTTATTGTCCCAGAGGGAGACTTGTTTTCACAATCAGATGATATTCCACACACAGAGACGTACAGATGTGCACATTATGTCAGGCTAATACTGCAGAAATATATATTGTGTAATAATGAATAACTGTAATTCATTGGAATGGGAGGAGATACAGTCATCTCTTTCAAAGAAAATGATTCAAAGAAGAACAATCTGTACTAGAAGCTGGTGCCAAAAGAAGCAGTTGTTGTACAAACTGGATCCGGTGCTGGATGATGGAGTTTTTAGAGTATAGGTGGCAGGAGGTGACAGGAAGAGGTAGGCACAAGTGGCGGGAGGGCACACAGTTCTCACCAGATCAGCAACAGAGCAACACAGTATTGGAAACTGGTATGTTCATCTTATTATTCAGCTGTTGCAATAAACTACAAACTAAACCGCAAAAATGTCTGAAAAAGCCAGTCTTTGAGTCTGCATGAGCTCATTTGTCATCCCCAACTGTGAAGTAACGGCAATTGGAAAGTGGGCAAACCAAACTTTGGAAAGTAGAATTGCCATTACATTATAAGTGCATGAACCTCCTTTTGTTTTTATTACCAATAAGAGGAAAGATACAATAGTTTTGGACAATTCTCTTTGTAGTGAAGATTCCAAGTTACTTTGGTTCAAAGTGTCATGTCATTTTTTTTCAAACTTGTGCAACTGTAGACCAATGCAGTTTTGTATGGTGTATTTGTCTTGAATTTGAACTGGAACAGTGGTTGCAGCAGTGTGCGGCTTTGGTCTGTCTTTCTTTGCCCAACTCTCCTGAGATTGAGTGAAGTCTTTTGGTTGCATGGGTTTACGGACTAACTGCTCAGAGAAGTTACGAAACATGCTGTATCTCTGTATCTCCCCTGTAGAGAGCCCTACATTTTCGTCCCTGGCCTCAATCGATCCTGCTTTTTCAGAATTGACTGATAAACAATTCCAAACCATCTCTCCACATGGCAGTTTGTGTTCCTTTCAAATTCCCCAGCAGCAGACCAGGGGGGACCACCAAGGGGTAAATGCCAAGGTAGCCCCCAAAAAGGACATCAACAACACCTGGGCAGAAGTATGGACTTTCCTCATCATGCGGGTCTCGGCATCCACTTTTTCAAGCTCTCCCTGTACTGTAAGACCTTCTTTAATTCAATTCAATTCATCCATCATCTTCCTCCTGAGAAAAGGGGCTGTCTTCCAACTTTTCTATCTCTTGCATGTCGGGAATCTTGTGTTCTTTTATCAAGTCCTGCATGGTCTTCAGATTATCCAGAGCAGTTTTAGTGTGGTGTTTGCCAATTAGTGTCAGCACACAGTGAGCAAAAGATTTTGAGTGCTGTGGTCATTGAGGTAGTGTTTTGCAACTTGGAAAGTGCAAATGTTGCAAAATCCTTCTAACCTTTGTCAGCTGTTTTTTCCCCCATTGACTGAGTGACAGCTTTGAGCACGTGTGCAGAGCATTTACAGTATGTAGCACTGTGAACACTCTAATATCCTTCCACGTCTTCCGTTTTAAACAAAGAGCAAAACCCTGTCCAAGTCGTTGACAGTGATTGGTGGTATAGTGTTCATTTGTCAGCATTTCACAGACTGGAAGTGGAGGTGCAAATCTGACCACTTCCAGGAAGAGTGAGAAAGTGGTAAAGGAGTCTTTTGGTCTGACCAGGAACTTTGGATGCAACATTACCTGTACCTGCATTCAGGTATAAAGTCTATAAGGTCTTTCTCAGGTGTTGCACAACTATGCTTATTCCTGTTTCAGTGTACACATGTACACCAAAGGGGTCAACTTGAAAGTTCTGTATGTACCCTGGAATCTTGTTAAATTTAAAGTCACATTCCTTAATGATATTTTGGGTGAGGTAAATCTCCATGAAAACATCATTGTGAATTCATTTCCTTTTTCTAACCATCTGTTTTTTAAAGTTTACTATAGAAGAGCTGGTTCACTATAGTACTCTTGCAATTCTCCCTCTTCTTGTGTTGCTGCTGGTCTGAATTTTCTTTTTTACTTGTTTTACTTGTGTCAGTTTTCCTCTTTGTAGCACAGATATCTTAAACAGGCTGGCTCCCTTTTCCTTTTAAAGAAGTATTTGCAGGAGGGGACTGTACAAACTGCACTGATGTTCAAATATGTACTTTTTAATTACCAGCTGTGATTTTGATATGATTATTTGATATGCTGGCTTTTCCAGGCAAGGGTACAACTGTGACTTTTCTTTCCGAAACTGTTGTACAACACTGTGAGTAACCTCGGTAAATTGGTATAGGTTGGTAGGTACACTATGGAAATTATTCCAGTCAGAATAATTTGTTGTAGAAGAGTTACTGTTTCCACAACTTAGTTCTATAAACAGCACAGAAGTGTATGTGTGGTCTGAAATAAAGATATGGAGATAAATGGTATTTATTTTTATTTCATTTTTTATTAATTTATTTAAATTTCAATTTGAGTAATATTTCATCACATAAGTAATCATGTGCTTTTATCTTCGTAGCCTATACAATTTATTGTCTGATATACATGTAGAAAAACAATACATTTGTTTAGAGTTTAAATTCAGTAAATATCCAACATTAGACCTATTTCAAATTTCAATCTCTGAGTCCAATTAAGACAAATACTAAGGCTGTTTAAATTCCGTTATCTTGGGTTACATATCCGTAGTGATAGTATGTTGTCAATAGTGATAAGTGTAATCTGTGTTGATGTGTGGACTGTCCCTTTAATTGGGGGGAATGGGCAGTTCATGATCCGCTATACGCAAACAGAGCTGATGCGCCTGCGCCGCACCCAGGAGCAGCAGAGAGGACAAGGGACCGTTTCTGCGAATTTTGGGGACGAAAAGAGGTAAACTGGTGTGATTAACTTTAATTTCCGTATTGACAGACTGTTTCGACTCGAAGCAAAACCTGTCGTATACAGCGGAGGACTTTCTATCTACCCCTGTGTCGTTTGAATCGTGTGTCGCTCGTTAAATCGCATCCGAGGCTGGAGGCGAACTGATCCTACAAATCATGCCCAGCTTGTCAATACACGGGGCGCTAACCACCAACCTCAGCCCGCTCACCGACCTACCGCCGTACGGACGAGAACAGGCCGGCAACAGCCGCAGTTAAGCTTAGCCAACAGTGTTGAACAATGTTGTTGAACAATGCAGCTTCCATTTGTTGATTCGTCGCTCTGATTATGTGAGTAACGGGGCGGCGGCGCTTTGTTACTGATGTCTCCGCTGCTCTATTTTGGGCAGCTACGAGCAGGATTTCCGTAACACATCCATGTGTAACACTGGCCTATAGCCGCCATTGGTCACCGACACCTCTGTCAAGGATGTCTCACTTTCACAACGCAGCAACGCCCTTTAACAGCAGCTCGTTAAAACAATATCAGTAGCTATCACTTCATTTTATCTTCAAGTGTTATTTTTCTCCAAAGCACGTAGGAAATATCTGACATATACAACTATTTCTATGTACTGTATTCACTTTTAGTTAACCTTAACTATCCACTTTTAAAGGATTTTTCTTAAGCTGAGTAATGTTATAAGTGATTTGACTCTCTGTAGCAGATGGTCAGGACATTCTTGAAAATGTGACATTATCCACTAGTCACTAGAATTTATTAGGTCATTTCTGTAGTGCAGGAGTCAAATACCCAACAGTAATGCTCACTGGCTCTTATGCCACTTTAAATGACTGTTTATCTTAAGAAAGAAACGGAGGAAGAGGTGTAATTTTTTGAAATGGGGCCAAAGTTCATTATTGTCTGGTGTGTATCTGCACGTTCAAAACTATTTATTAATGTGTGTTTGTTTTTCTGCAGACAAGTCACCCCAAACAGACCCGCAGGAATCATGGGGAGTGGTAAGTCTATTGAGATTGAGATTTACATGAACTTCATCACTCGGTATGTTTAGAAACTCTTTTCCAATTTTTTGTTCTTTATTTTCCTTTTCTATTGTGTAGATTTTCAACATTGTTTGACAAACGCAATTTAGTCATTGGAATGTGATTCTTCAGGTTTTTTCTGTTTTCGTTTGCACACAATGCTCCATTCTTTTCTAGGGGTATTTCTTGTTTTCCTGCATTTTTGCTGCTTATTTATTATTATATTATTTTTTTTTTATTTTCAAGTCTTGTGCTGATCACACCTATGAACTTATGAGTCCCACAGAGGCCATTACTTGTTAGTACGGTAGCACATCATACATTACCAGGGCATGTTGTGGCATCTTGTGCACAGTTTCTGTTGGAGAGTTTATGTTCTTATCCTGGATGTGTGAAACAGAGCGACGCTGTGTCTCACTAAGTTAATTCCTCCAGTTTCTCTTATGTGGCCCATGGATGGATGCCTAAATCAAAGGAACTTTTGTTTTTATGCAGAAATGTGGGCACTGGGTAGCGCTCGGCTCTGCTCTACTGCCTTTGTTTCAGTCCCCACCTCTTTCTCTCTCCCTTTTTTCCCCTTTTTGCATTTTTTTGGCATCTCTATCCTCTTCTATTTTTCAGTACTCTCTATCTTTGCTTAATTCTACCCTTGTCTCCTCCCTGCTGTTGTGCTTGCTGACTCACCCCTACCCCTAATGTCTCCACCTATTATCTTGATTCATGTTTTTTTTTTTTCTCACAAATCTCTAAATCTCACATCCTTTCCCCCTCTTTGCCCTTGTCTCTTCTCTCCACCTCCACTTCTCCCCCTATCACCCTCCTCTCAGTGTTCCTGCCGGCGGATGCAGCCCACTCTGTGCTGCGGCGGCTGCGCAGGGCCAACTTCTTGCTGGAGGAGATGAAGCAGGGTGACATCCAGAGGGAGTGCCGTGAAGAAATCTGCACCTATGAGGAGGCCCGCGAGGCTTTTGAGAACAATGAGAAGACGGTGAGGGAACGAGTGAAACACCACATCAGACCTACAATAATTCCTCTCCTGAAAACTAAATACACACAGTACATACAATATAATACAATATAGGGATATTAACTCCTGCAGAAAGTCATGTGTTCAGAGATTTCCTGGTCAGCTTGTGACTGGGCTGACAAAAATTCATCACAGCTCATGCGGTCATTAAACAACAAGTACAAGCAACAACACAATAAGCAAAAACACACAAGTATCAACAGGATAGTACAAAAACTCTGATTAATTTTTATTTGGAACAGTAGCAGGATACAGGAATCCCAGCCAGAGCTAAAAATCCACAAATCAATATTACTACTGCTGAGTAACTGATACCAGCCACCATATGAAAAAAAATTCAAGCTATTCCTCTCAGTGCTCTTTTGTAAGGTTCATATGTCCAGTAATAAATCCTGTGCCAAGACTGGTAGCTTGTGGAATGTTGGTGTTTTTTCAGGAAGTGATGTTTATCAGCAGGAAGAACAGCCGAGTGCATGCTAGAGGGCGGCGTATTTGTGAAACTATTGTGAGCGGCCAGAGAGCAAAGTCACGTAGATAGACGTGCAGTGGTCTCTCTTTTTGTTTGAGTGTTGTTGTCTGCTGCCTTTGTGTTGCAGTGATCCGTATAAAAAGTATTCATACAGTGGACACTGTGTGTGCCATGACTTTGGGTTTTGGAAACAGTTTTTGGACACCATGATTACACTGTAGCTTGCATGAATGTAGCAGAGTATTGTCTTGAAGAAAATATTCTAGCAATCTTTTTGACTGTATGTGTGTTTGTTCTGACTGGCTGCAGATACAGTTCTGGGAGGAATATGTGAGGGAGAGCAGTCCATCTGGAGGGCTGGAGACAGTGGTGGGTGGAGTCCACTCTCTCTACTTGATAGTGCCATTGCTGCTGGTTGTGTTCATCATCGCCGCCGTTGCCATCACTGTTTGGCGCTGCCACTCTCGCAAGCGCTCACAGCACAGCCCCAGCCTGGGACACTCGCATCACGACCATGTCCTGTCAGTGGTCTCTATGGACCATTGGGGGAGGGATTACCACCATGGTGACCAATCAGAACTCAGTGTCCACAGCAGCCCAGCTTATCCAGGCTCAGAGATCACATCAGGGAGAGGAAGTGCTGGAGACCCACCGCCATCTTATGAGGAGGCTGTTGGCCATGCAGACGTCCAGATAGAGACGGAGCCACCTCCACAGTACGAGGATATAGTCACCACCAGCACTGCTAGTGTCAATGGCCATGGGAAGTAAACCTGTCCTTCACTACCACCCCAACAAAAGCCCTAACCTACACTAAGACTATCTTATCATCTAGCAAAGCCACTATTGTGGTTTCACCAGCCTTCCTCATTCAACACAAACAGAAACACTAATAATTGTCTGGTCAATGGACTAATGCAACCTTTGCCAGAGCCAGTGCTGTTGAAATTTGCACTAACTTTTCATCAATGACATGAAGTGATGGCAGAAAGGAGCAAATAATACTGCAATACCAAAACCAACCAACACCTCTGCTGAATTTCCTAAAGTTGCATCTATGCTGTCACTCTGTAGCAAATTATTTAACTGCAGGCATAACAAATGTTGCATGTGGTGTAAAGAAGAAAAGGTTAGGGTTGCCATAATGAAGGACAACTATTCTAAGTGTATATAGGGTTTGGACCAATGCTTTATTGAAGGTTAGTGCCAATTTTTAGACTTGAATGCTTAATAATAGATGTTTTGCTCCTATTTTTACTATGTTTAAATTTGACTGCTCAAAAGTAAGTACTCACTGTTTCCATTTACAGTTTTCTATACTGCAAAACTTTTGTTTTGCAAGGTCAAACAAACAACAACATTTAAAACCACAAAAAAATTCCAGTGAAACTCAGACTTATTAAAGTTGCATTAAATTATTTTTGACCACCTGGGGGCAGAAGAATCAAAAACAAATTCAAAATCAGGTCTATCGTTTGTTATAGCTAGCATGTTAGAGTGGCAAACTATTTTTTAATCATACACATAAAAGTCGTTTATGTCTTTACACCTGTCCATTTCTGCTGCATCCAACATGCTGACTACGAAAACCAACTGCTCACTTACCCTCTAATATATCCCAGGCCTTAAAATGCGCCATTGTTACAAGATAATCCATGTTACTCACCTCATCTTCATCAGAGCAACACGAGTTTTATACAACGGTTCACTCCTAGATGACTAATCTAAGTCAAGTACTTTTTTGTTATTTCTGGTTTGGTTGACCAGTTCATGACAAAAATATCTGGGTCACTATTTGCTCATTTACTTCAGCTCTTTGCAGGGCAGGCAGTGTCAGGCAGCGATGTCTGGCTTGTCTGAGCTTGTAAACTGGTAAATCACTGTCCACAGTTTTATATTGGGGGGTTAAGGAAGCATTGTGATGCAATACTAGTGACTCTTCCATATTACAGTCACTAATTTGATTCATTGTTGATATCAAAAATACCATTTAATGTAGGTTTAAACAATCAAGTTGTCAAACTAATGCATTGGCCCAACTTCAGTATACACTTGTGAATGTTTCTGAGCTCAAGGTAAAGGCCATCAGTTCTAAAGGGTGTGCTGAAAAACATTTTGTGGATGTGTGTCATATGTGCTTACATTTTGGTAATGCATGCAGCTTGGTCTGTACACTTGAGGTTGGATCTGGTTCTGCACCGTTTGTTGATGGTCAGTGCTCGCTAGTCCATGCTCATGTTTGGGCCGCTGACAGTTGCTCAGAGCCTGCTTTAACTGTGAAAATCTTTCCCCTAAAGCAAATGTAACTGAGTTGAATATTGCTTCAAAGTCTTCTGCTGTGCTAGTTTCACTAAAAGTACACAGAGGATTCTTCAAATAGGTTTGCAGCTACACAGTAAATGTAAGTTTTGGAGTGACTTGCACAGGAATGTGGGACAGAAAGCAATAGACACAGAAGCTTTTGGGAAAAGAGTTATCAGAGGGGAAAGGCTCTGTATTTAATTTCATTATGGACAGAGTCCATGTTTAGCATGTGTGATGTACCTGTATATAAATATGTATAGCCTGTGTGTGAAAGTAAGTTACAGTGAGATTGTTTTTACTGCATAGGAATGCAGTGAACGCATTGATAGTAATGTGATGATTATACACTAGTCTGTGAATAAAAGAAGGCACTTTGTGTGTAAGCTCAAAATGAGCTGTTAAATGGAAACTAGCAGTGTGGTTTGATATCTTCAGTGTGACTCTCAGCAATAACGATGTCACTGTAATCTGAAAAAAAAAGTGCTTATCTATATGCAATGTTGCTGCATACACTCTAAAAACCAAATATGTCTAATTTTCACTTGATACTGATAAATGTTACACATTTCCTATCTACACCTCACAGACTTTGAGCACTGACTCTTATTGTTATTGTACTTTCTACTGAGTTGACCTTTGAACCTCAGCACTTGCTATGACCTTGAACTGAGTTGTGCTGGTAGGGGTAGCCATTTTGGTAAGGTCAGTTGTACTATTACTTACAGAGCCCTGTTTTTACAATGCCTTATCAAACAAACAAAATGTTATAACATGAAATACAAGGGAACTTGTTATAAATCCTTGATATGTGCAAAAGCTTGAATTAATTTGTAATAAAACGTTTTAAAATAGTCCGTGTTGAATTTCTTTCAGTTTCTCAAGAACATAATCAAATGAGTAAAAATTTATTTTTGTACTTGTACGCGAGTGTCTAAACCAGTTTTCTACAGTTCTTCCTGCTCGATTCCCCAAACAGTCATCGTTTTACAAACAAGACAATGACACAGTCCTGAGCTTTGTTCAGTCTCTCACAACTGACTCAAAGTTGTGAGAGACTGAACAGAGGAACATGTGTAAAATGAGTCACACGAAATTGAGAATGAAACTGTTACAATGGGTCTTGGATTTGAGTAGTTAACTCAGTAAAAGTTCAATGTACTTTGAATCAGGTGCTGCAACAAAAAGATATACACTGATCCGCCACAACGTTAAAAACAGGTAACTGGTTTTAATGTTCAATGATCAATGTTAAAAAAAAAAAAAACATTTTTTAGTTTTCATTTTTTCCCCATGGCTTCATGGCTTTTAAGTAAAAAAAAATACATATGTAAGCCACAACATTCAAACCAGTCACCTGTTTTAATGTTGTGGTTGATCGGTGTATATAACTCAGAGTGGAAAAAAAGGAAAGTTTTATGTGGAATATTAGGTTAAAATGAGTTAAAATACACAATTCATAACTAATAGCTATATATTATTTTTAAAGGACACATCTCATGAAGGGTTGTTATGGAGACAGTCTTCTGTCTTCACGGAACCACCTGGCTTGTGATCCATGTTTGTCCTCTCTGTGGAGCATGATACAAGATCCAAGTACCGTTCACCTTTGTTCAAACAAAGGAGGAAGTGACTCATTAACTACAAATGAAAGACCAACCACAATGTAAATGGGAGTCAACGGGGAACAGTTCATTCATATTATTCAGCCTTGATTGTCAAAAATAACCCATTGTGTTGAGCAGATGCTCTTAAACATCAAAACCAGTTTTATTAACAGTTGATGTGAGTAGTACACATACAAAACACAGTGGCTGTTTGTCCTTGTTACCCTTTCAGTGCCTTGTTAAAGAGCAGAGGAGAGTAGAGCTCAGACAGCTTCAAGTAGAGCAAGCCACATTTAGCTCAGGCATAGGAAAAAACACACACACACACACACACACACACACAGCTAGTGTTTGACACAAACACTTCTTAAAAGGGGCACATCACCAATGTGAGATGACCTAATGGCCCTGTGAAGTTACATTATTTAATCTTGCTTTACTTTGCCAGGCAGTAATTACTGGCACAAAGCTCAGTCATTTCATTTAACAACACAGTGTCTAATTTTCACTTATTCACATCCCCAGTGATTAAGTGTTAACAAGACTGATTTGACAAAACGTAGCAAACAGGAAAGAGAAAAGTACCAGCGGAGATTCAGGCTAATGCAAAAAAAAAAAAGTTCATTTTATTTTGGTAAACACGGTGTTAACAGCTGCTGATCGCGTCACAGCTTACACCTTTATAAAATCCAATAAAGACGGTTTCCTGGATGTTTTGTCCATATTGACGCGTAAACCTGTGTACACTGCGGTCACACCCACTCCTTGGGGTTTCGTAACACTTCCAGCATCTCAGCCTCCAGGGTACCTTTGGCAGGCTCGTGCATGTACTCCCACCTGAGGATGGAAGGTGAGTTTGTTACCAAGCAACACAGACAGCTCATTACTGCCACATAAGAGCAGAGGCGACGGCTGCCTCAGACAGGTGATGTCTTACCTGGCAGTGAGGGGGAGGGACATGAGGATGCTTTCAATTCTGGAGCCAGGCGTGGCCAAGCCAAACTTCACTCCCCTGTCATACACCAGGTTGAACTCCACATATCTACAACACAAACAGACAAAAACTACTGTAGACGCATGGCCTGATGTGATTTATGACACCTTAATTTCAGATCTGTTGTGCTTTATTAAATAATTAACTCGTCCACAGCAACCTGCAAACCATACATTTTGGATTTTTAATGAGGATTTAGTTTCATTACAGCCAGCTTTTGGTTTGTTTTCAAGTACTATATGAAAACAGACTTGATTTAAAACTTGCTTGAGCTATGTAGGCAATCCAGCAAAGTGAATATTTATTATTTATTCCTTACTTTTGGTAAATGTTATTGTTGGACAATGATTACTTTCTTCCAGGTTGATGCATTTATGAGCTCGTCAATAGCTCAAATGCCTTCAAAGTCACTCACAACTTTTATGCAATATGTACAGTTTACTTAACTTCACTGATTAGACTGAGCCAAGGCTCACTCACACCATTCAGTCTAGTGTAGCCTCTTCTTTCTCCTCCTCCCTCCCCATATTATCTCACCCATCCAACCCCTGTCTCAGTTTCTGGCTCACTACCATGTGTCTTCCCTTTCATAAACTAACTCTTCTGCTCATTCTCTGTGTTGTTAGTCTCTCGCTAGATGACTCCCCGCTGAGGCAGTAAGCTCTGCCAGGATCTGCTCCAGCTTTGGACCACACAGGCTGTGCAGGGAGTCTACACCAAAGCTTTTTCATAATCATTTTCAAATAAACGACACTAAATATTAACTGCGATGGATCACTTCTCTTAAAGTTCCAATGTTTGTGTTGATACGGTTCGTGTGACTTTTTAAGATGTAATTTTATGTGTGGAGGAGGGAAATTTAGCCTTTACTTATGATGGACTCAAGGATCAAGGTTAGGTTTGTTAAGTATAGCTAATTTGAAAACTGCAGCTTCAATAGCTGAGCAAACAATGCAAGTGATGAGTGACTGAAAGCATCTACTAAGACTTTAGCAGATATTACTGTAGATATAGAAGTAAAGTAGTACGTTATGAGTGTGCTTTCTGAAACAATAATAAGAAACTGGAGTCTTGAGTTATTGAACTGAAATTATAAAATACAAAATTAATTTACAAAATCTCCTTTTAACATTTGCCGATGTAAAATGTATGCATTACTAATTAACAGCCACGGGTTCGTTTGTGTGTCTTTTACTCACCTGCCTCGTCGTACCTGCTGCCACGCCTTTTCGTCATCAGTAACGGAGTCATTGAGATGTTTGTATACGATGGGCAGGTAACAGGGCACCACGGTGCGGGCACAGCTCTTGACAAAGTTGAACGCTTCTTCCTGAGTCGGGGAGTCCAGGTCATCGAAGAAGATCCCTCCTATGCCTCGAGTTTCTCCTCTGTGGCCAATATAGAAGTACCTGTCACACCTAGAGAACAGAAAAATTGGTTTGGAAGATCATTTACTTTCCATGTCAGTCTATGTGTCAGGTGCATGGTGGAAGATTCAGTTGTACCGTGGAGAGCCAAACATGCACTACATGAGGTACGTGATGTACGTGATGATGACAAAATGTACTTATTATGAGCCACATCAGATAAACCACACCCATTCCTTTCATATGCTTTGTGGTCATTAACTGACCAGCCTCATGGCTCAACGGTTTTTCTGCAACTGCAGATTTTAGGCAGAGACTTCCTCTTATCATCATTTTACAGCGAGGATACACCCATTGTAATCCACACACACACATACACAGAAATCAGGCGTGCAGATGAGTGCTGAAGTTAAAACATGCATATGTGGAGCTTCACTAGCAGGGGACTAATCTTGAATCAAACTGTACCATTTCTTAAAGTCGGGGTAGTACTGCGGGTGGTGTTTATCACAGGCCTCCTTCAAGGTGTTGTGAAAGTGAAATGCATCTTCTTTATTAATATAAACTGGAGTCAGATCTGTTCCTCCACCGAACCACCACTGCTTAGTGCCTGGAACACACACACACAAAACATACACAGACAAGGAGGAAGGAAACAAGGGTTATCATTCATTCACGTACTCAATAGTGTCACTGACACTAAGACACAACTGCTGACGTCATGGACTGACAGTCACACACTCACCATCTTCCTCCTCTATCTCAAAGTATCTGTAGTTGAAGTGCACTGTGGGGATGTGGGGGTTCTTGGGGTGGATAACGGAGCTCACACCCATGGCACAAAACGGCAGCTTCCCTGAGAGAAGACACAGAGCACAATGTCAAAAATTCAGACATGTTTTACTGTTAAGGGCAAGACGTACAAAGTAAGAGCAGAGCTCGGGTAGTAGATGTAACAATCAGTTAACATCTGAGTGTGTATGAGAAGAAGTGATGAATACAGGTTACCACACGTCTTCTGCTCAAGAGCTCACCATCTTTCCCTTTGAGGACTTTCCCTCTGCTCCTCATCTGCTTGGCGGCCCCCTCTGTCAGGTTTCCAAAGACCACTGACACATTCACCCCTGCCTTCTCAAACACCTTTCCATCCTGCATTACACAGCTAATTCCTCCGCCACCTGACACACACACACGCGCACACACACACAGGGTCATGAGTGGAATGAACTGAAAACGATTGACATGAAATTGGTTGGTAATTAGCAGATTAGGATTTTTGTCAGTTTATGATGCAAAAACATTCAGCAAGCTTGAAACACCAGTACTTGGAGAATCTCATAAACACCATGCACTTTATGATGAATTGGATGAAAATGATCTGTCATGCTCCACATTGATCTCTGCAATTTGTCGTTACTTTATCACCTTCTTTCCTCTCCCACCGGTCCACCTTGAACACCCCACCGTCCACCTCCTGCAGGGCTCTGCAGAAATCGGCCTGCGTCTCCATGATCAACATCTCCATCCTCGTAAGCATCTCCTCTCTCCGCCCCTGCAGCACGCCGATGTCGGTCACCGGAGGAGACATGAACCCCCGGCATCTCTCCAAGATGTCCCTCTCTTGCTCCTTCTCCTCAGCGGCTGGGGGGACTCTCTTTGCCATATCTGCACACTGGAAGTGGTTAGCATTGGCTAAAAACCCGGCTACAGCCGCTGCTGCTGTAACTGCTGCGGCTCCACTGAGCGCCAGAGCTCCCCTTCTTATTCGTCCTGCTGCGGATCTGCCTGCGTTCCCATGGGACATAAATCTTACACCGGTAGCCCTGGAAAACCATCTCGTTCCCGGAAGCAAAGTCACTGACGGGCTGTGAGTGGAGGAAAACAGCAAGTGCGTCTCTCTTGCATTACCAAACCTCTTTAAATGTGCAATCAAACATTGTCTCGTCGTGGTCTGAGCCATTTTGTTCGCTGTGCAAAAGACGATGGTGGCCATTTGTAAGAGAACCACCCGTTCTATCCTCGGTGCGTACCTGTCGTAGCTATAGTGTACTTATCAACTACTCAAAACATTATCAGAAGTTGTGCCTACGTGCTCTCAGTCGTGCTTTGAGTCAAGGGGCGTGTAGATCTTTGGTAGTGACCGAGGCATCACGGGAGATGTCGTCCTCTGCCATTCGCGGCACATTGCTCTCCAAGTGGTGAAAGCCCTCAGCGAACATCAAAACCCAGAATGCAGTGCGTTCGAATCGAACGTTTAAGTACTGCTTAAATGCTCCGTCTTCTGTGCTTCGCAGTAAGGATGGAATCAAGTGCTGCTTCAGCCCGTTACTTTTCATCTGAGTGAAATGTGGTCAGGTTGTGTAATTGTTAACCCAGCCCAAACCAGAATCTCGAAGTATTTGTTGTTTATCATCATACAATCTTTACAATGTCACAGGTTTATTTCATATTATCCAATCCTTTTTACTGTGGACATGTGCCCGGAATGAAGTTGATTGGCTGTTACTTCTGTTCAATGGTGATGTGCTGTCAACATGACTAAACATTAACCTGAAAATGAGGTGGGTGCCCATTTACGGTCCGTGAATGACGTATAATTCTTCTGCAGTTGTTTACGTTGTATAATGAAAAGTCCTAGTTTAGGGGGTATTGCCTAATTTCATTGTCATACTTGTGCTAAGTGCAAATATATGTTGACATTTGTGAGTTCCCACAGTCAAAGAAATGCACATTAGGCTAACTTGCAACTCCAATTGACTTTTTAATGCCTTAGTATACTATGACTTTTTTTGTATGTCTTACTGTAAGATGATGTTTTTATACATTACTATACTGTAATGTTTTTATGCATTACAATACTAGGACTTTTTTATGTTTTACAATACTATGTCTTCGTATACCATACTATACTATGACTTTTTATGCCTCCTACACTATGTCGTTTTTATGCCTTACTATAATGTGACTCTTATGCCTTACTATGCTGTGACCTTTTTATGCCTTGTTATACTATAATTTTTTATGCCTTAATATAATATAACGTTTTTATGTCTTTTTATGCCTTACTTTACTATGACGTTTTTATGACTTATTATGCTTTACTATAGTATGACTTTTTTTTAATGACTTTTCAGGACTTAATATACTATGACGTTTTAATGCCTTTTTATGTCACAATAAAATGACGTTTTAATGACATTTTATGACTTCCTACACAATGACGTTTGTATGACTTCTTATGCTGGACTATACGATGATGTTTTTGTGCCTTACCATATAATGATGTTTGTATGCCTTACTATACTATTAAATTTTAAAGCCTTACTATACTATGACATTTTTATGAATTTTAATGACTTATTATACTATGACATTTTTATGACTTACTAAAAAATGATATTTTTATGACATTTTATGCCTTCCTATACCATGATGTTTGTACGACTTCTTATGCCAGACTATACTATGATGTTTTAATGCCTTACTATATGATCACATTTTTATGACGTTTAATGCCTAACTATACTATGACTTCTTATGCCTTACCATACTATGATCTTTTAATGCTTTTTTATGCCTTCCTATACCATGACGTTTGTACGACTTCTTATGCAAGACTATACTATGATGAGTTTATTCCTTTTTGTGCCTCACTATACTATAACGTCTTTGTGCCTTACTATACTATGACGTTTTATGGCTTACTATATATGTTTTTAAGACTTTTTATGCCTTAAAGTACTATGATGTTTTTATGACTTATTATGCCTCACTATTATGATGTTTATATGACTTTTTATGTCTCAGCATACTATGATGTTTTCATTCCCTATTATAGTAGGACATTTTTATGACTTTTTAAACGTTACTATACTATGACGTTTTATGACTTTTTATGCCTTACAATACTATGATGTCTTTATGCCTTACAATACTATGATGTCCTTATGCCTTACCATACTATGACATTTTCAAGACTTCCTATGCCTTACCATACAATGACTTTTTCAAGGATTTTTCTGCTTTACTATAATATGATTTTTTTATGCCTTTTTACGCCTCACTATACTATGACGTTTTAATGCCTTACTATTCTATGACGTTGTGATACCATACTTTACTATGACATTTTTATGACGTTTTTATGCCTTCTATGCTATGACGTTTTTATGCCTTACTATACAATGTCATTTGTATGCTTTACTGTACTATGGCTTTTTTATGCCTTACTATAAAATACTATACTATGACGTTTTCATGACTTATTTTGCTTTTTTATGCCTTACAAAACTAGGACATTTTTATGCCTTAGTACGCACTGACCTTTTTATGACTTTTTAGGCCTGACAATTCTGTGACATTTTTATTATTTTTTTATGCCTTACTATGCAATGACATTTTTATGCCTTTTTATGCCTTACTATACTATGATGTTTTCATGACTTATTATGCCTAAATATACTATAATGTTTTATGCCTTTTTATGCCTTACTATACTATGACGTGTTTATGACTTATTATGCTTTACTAAACTGCCTCACTATATTATGAGGTTTTAATGGCTTATCATACTATTACTTTATCATGCCTTTTAATGCCTTACTATACTATGATGTTTTCATGACTTATTATGCCTGAATATACTCTGACGTTATTATGCCTTACTATAATATGACTTTTTTTTTTTACTTTTGATGCCTTACTATACTATCACATTTCTATCACTTTTCATGCCTTACTATACTATGACTTTTTTGTGACTTTTTATGCCTGATTATAGTATGACATTTTTGTGTCTGACTATACTATAACGTTTTTATCACTTTTTGTGCCTTACTTTACTATGACTTTTCATTACTTACCATACTCTAGTCACAAGAACAGCTTCTTCCCTACTGCGCTTGGCTCATTAACAAGGCTAAAGACCCTCATTGTCACTGACAACCCCCAACCCAGCAAACTTTTGCACCTCTCCCCCCATGAACTATTGGGTAACCCCCAGTCATTTCGTACAGTGTACATATTTGTATTTTATGTATTTACGTTCTTTTTTTTTCTTTTTTATAATATTTCTTCACATTTCATTGTAAATATTTAATCCTGTAAAATTTTCAATTTATATCTAAAATGTCTGACCTGCAGTACTTGCTTGTTTCATGTATGTTTATATTTCTTTCCTTCTGACTATGTCTGTTGTTATGCAAAAAAACACCACAGCAAAATCTTTGTATGTCGAAAACCTACTTGGCAATAAACCAGATTTTGATTCTTATTCTGATTCTATGGTTTCTTTTAAGCCTTACTATACTATGACTTTTCATGCCTTACTACACTATGATGTTTTTATGACTTGAGTATGACTTTTTATGTCTTACTATACTGTGATGTGTTTATGCCTTTTTGTGCCTTACTATACTATGTTGTTTTCATGACTTTTTATGCTTTACTATACTATGACATCTTATGTCTTACTATACTATGACGTTTGTATACCTTATTATACTATGACTTTTTATGACTTACCATACTCTAGTCACAAGAACAGCTTCCTCCCTTATGTACTTGGCCTCATTAACAGGGCTAAAGACCCTCACTGTCACTGACAACGCCCCAACCCAGCAAACTTTTACACGTCTCCCCCCATGAACTATTGCACGACCTCCAGTCATTTTACAAAGTGTACATATTTGTATTTTGTATATGTATGTCTTTTAATTTGTTCTTTTCTATAATATTTCTTCAAATTTATTGTAAATATTTTATCCTGTTGTTAAAATATTCAATTTATATTTAAAATGTCCCAACTGCAGTGCTTGCTTGTTTCATCTATGTTTATATTTCTTTTTTTCTTACTATGTCTATTGTTATGCAACAAAACACCACAGCAAAATCCTTGTATGTCGAAAACCTACTTGGCAATAAACCAGAACTTGACTCTAATTCTGATTCTATGGTTTCTTTTAAGCCTTACTATACTGTGACTTTTTATGCCTTAAACACTATGATGTTTTTATGTCTTACTCTAGTATGACTTTATATGTCTTACTATTTTGTAACTTTTTAGGACTTAATATACTGTGACGTTTTTACGCCTTTTTATTATATACTATACTACTATGGTTTTATGACTTTTTATACCTTAATATATGATGATTTTTATGCCTTACTATAGTATGACGTGTTTATGTATTACTATACTATGACGTGTTTATGACTTTTTATGCCTTAATATACTCTGATGTTATGATGTTTTCATGATTAATTATGAAGAAATATACTTTGACATTATTATGCCTTACTATACTATAATGTTTTTATGCCTTTTTATGTCTTACTATACTATGACGTTTTTGTGACTTTTTATGCCTTACTATACTATGACATTTTGGTGACTTTTTATGACTTACAATAATATGAGGTTATGCCTTACTATACTATGTCGTTTTTTTCACTTTTTTTGCCATACTATACTATCTCGTTTTTTCATTTTTTTGCCATACTATACTATGTTGTTTTTTCACTTTTAACGCCTTACTATACTATAATGTCTTCATATCTTAATATTCTATAATGTTTTTTGATGTTTTTACAACTTATAATAGTATGTCATTTTTTTCACTTTTTTTAAAGAATTTTTTGGGCTTTTAATGGACAGGATAGTAGAGAGACAGGAAATGGGGAGGCAGAGAGAGGGGGAATGACACGCAGAAAAGGGCCGTCCGCTGCGGGAGTCGAACCGGGGGCCAGCTGCAGCGAGGACTGTAGCCTCTATATATGGGGCGCCTGCCTTAACCCACTGCGCTACGCGACAACTGATTGTCTCTCTCACTTTTTTTTGTGATACTATGCTATATCGTTTTTTTCACTTTTAAGGCCTATCTATACTATAATGTCTTCATATCTTAATATTCTATGACATTTTTTGATGTTTTTATGACGTATAACACTATGTTGTTTTTTCACTTTTTTTAACATACTATACTATGTCGTTTTTTTCACTTTTAAGGCCTAACTATACTATGACGTCTTCATGTCTTACTATTCAATGGCGTTTTTTGATGTTTTTATTCCTTATTAT